TGCTGGATCAGTCATTTAAGGTAAATGCAGTGAGGGAGCTTTCTAGGGAGAGAACACCAGGGAGACTACATCTGCCAACAGAACCACAGTTTGACTAAGCACCTGCAAGCTGTCATTCCTCCCCCAGCCTGAGTCTTTAAATGACATTTATGTGTGTTTATTTCTAACTTTAAAACAGAGGCAAGTTACTCCTTATTGCCTCGTGAAATAAAGGATTTAGAGGCAAAATAAAATAATGATCAGTACACAGTCATGTGGTAAGATCTATTAACTTCCAAGTTTTTATAAAGAATTGAGGGAAGTGCACCCAGTCTGAGGTATGTGCTCTTCACATGCAGGGGAAAACAAGAGTTTGCTCCAAGTAAATGCACAGCATTCTGTGATATGTTTAAATGGCCCAATTCCAGCCTATAATCAGCTTACCCCCTGTCTTGGAGAATTGTTTTTGGTTACTAGTAATAAAATACTCCCACTGAGGATCTCATAATCAAACTGAGTTTTGGCTTTCTCACATAACAGGAAACCAGAGGCAGTGAGTCCAGGCTGGTTTTATAGCTTCACGATGTCCTGAAGAACCCCAGCCTTTCCCATTACTTTATGCCCAGGGTTCATCCTCATTTTTGTTACCTTATAATCCAGTGGAGTATAAATCCCAAGCAGGAAGAAGAGAAGTCTTAGTAAGCCTGCCTTCTTTTAAAGACTTTACTGGAAGGGCACCCAGAAATTTTATTTATACTCTCTGGCCAGGTCTATGTCACATGATCCCCTTCAGGTTATATATGAAATTACAAAATTTTTTTCAGGATGCACTGCTGCTTTGAAATACTAGAGAAAGAAAGAACAGATGTTGAGCACATACCGTCTTCTTGTACCTTGTCTCCTTTAATCCTCATAATGAAGAGACAGGGGCTGTTACTCCATTTACGAGATGAGGAACCTGAAAGCAGAGAGATCGCTTACCCAGGGATACTTACTTTATAGGTGATAGTTCTTTGGGGTTTTATTTGTTGTTGTTGTTGTTGTTGTTGTTTTGCTTTGTTTTGTTATTTTGGTTTTTTGAGACAAGGTCTAACTATGTAGCTCAGGCTGGCCTCAAACTTGTGGCAGTCCTCCTGCCTCAGCCACCTAAGTGCTGGGCTACCAGGTATGCCCCACCACACCCAGCCAACATCAGTTCCTAAATCCAGATTTCTTTTCGTGTAAACCCTGTGTTCTGTAGGTTTGTTATTTTCACAAAATGATACAAATGGACAAAGAGGTCACTGAGTGTGGATAAATTTGTAGTGTTTTTGGACCACTGTTGATTGCAGATGTTCATGATAATGGCAATGACCTGCACAGAAGTAGCCCATCTGGGAAAGGCATGTGTCACCTTAGCTAAACATTTATGTTCTGCATGGCTAAGCCCTCTGAATGACACAATCATTGGCAACAGAGAGGTGCTCCATTCTTTCGCATCATTGTTCTAAACTGAGCATTGCGAATTTTCTTTGTGACAAATCTGATTTGAGAAGTCCTGTGTTAAACTTTTGGGAATGTGAGGAGACAGGGAAAAAAACCAAAAAACATTTTTGGCCTTGAATCCTATAACTTAGTAAATTAAATGTGTAAATCAGATAAAGTTAGGAAATGGGAAATATTATCTTTACCTGCTTTTGGTTATAGGCTGAATATTTAGGACACAAAAGTGCATCTTAAGTAAGTTCCAGGAACCATGGAAATAAGGAGATATTTATAACCCCAAAGTCTTAGGGATTAGAAAATTGCCAGGTGACCAGCAGACTACCATTCTTTTTTTTCTTTTATTTCTTCTTCTTCTTTTTTTTTTTTTTAATACCAGAGATAAAACTCACAATCTCACACTTGACACAGAGCCTGCTCTGTGCCTCTGAGTTATATTCCCAGGCCCAGACTACTATTCTTTTATCCACCCTAAAGGTATGTTTTTGTAGTAAATTCTGAGTTTATTTGAATAAAAGACTCCCCTATCAAATTGATTTCCAAGAAATACTAGCATGAATAGGAATGTGTATCCTCATATGTACACACCCAGTAGGAACTAAGCTTTATCATTGTGAAATTAGCTGCTAGATTAGCGAAGACTAACGTCCATTATATAGTGGTTATTTATGAGAACAGTATTAAATATGGTCACCATTGAAGAAATCAGGCTTTATGGTTGACTTTGAAGGCAGAGGTTTTGACTCTACTGTCTTATACCCTGGATTTCCTGTTCTAGGTAATATATTGATGCTCAGTAAATCTGTGGTGATTGATTAGTAAAGAAAGGAAAATCCACATTGCCATTGCTTGGACTATGACATTGTATCCCCAATCCTTGGGTCCTCAAGCTAAAGAAGCCATTTCCCTTTGATTCTAATGTCATACATGTGGGTGGCATATTTCACTGTCTGGCTCCTATGTTTATATTTGGGGTGTGAATAACAATAAGATACAGTTACTTGTATTTCATAGTTGGAGTAACAAGCAAATGAAAGCAGAGCAGAGACCAAGGGCATAAAATTGCACGATTTAGTCAGATGTGACCCAGAGGGTAGCAGACCTTTCATCACCTGGGCAGCAGCCTCAGCCCATCCTCTATGGGTGGTCTCCTGAATTTGAGAAGTAGTAAAGAAGATAAAGGCTACTTAGGCAACTTGGAGGCTGCTGATAGGGTTGCAGTGATGAGGATTAAAGGAAAGAAGTCCGTTAAACCCTATCATGTACCTTGTGAAACAGAATTGTCCCTTCATAAGCTTACAGTAAGATTTTTTTTTTCTTTAAGGCCTCGGAACTTTCCTTGGTTTTTTACTCCTGAGCTTATAGACTCCTGAATGTTAGTGATGAAAGGGCCTTATGTAAAAAAAATGATGTAATAGTCCTTTCAGTGTAAGTAGTAGAAACCAAACATTAACTTACATGAGAAAGAGAGTTTATTGGTTAGGACCAGAAAGCCCAAAGATGTATTGGATTTATATATGGCTGCCTTTGATACTGCATCTCCCAGACTGGGTTGACTGTGCCCTAAGTCTGTGCTGATTATTGGCAGCTGAAGTTCTGAGGTTGTTACAAGGATGCCTAGGGCCTGACCCCTGAAATGTGAATGCAGCAGAATTTCTGTTAAAAACTCTCAGATACAAATGGAAAATTTGCTGTGTTGGCCATTTCAAGAGTGGCGGCTAGAACACCGCCCTCTTTTAATACTTTAATGAAGGAGCAAGGCTAAACCACCTGCCTCATCCAAAAATCCCTAGTAAATCTTTGGCCTATCTGGGCTGGACAGAAATATGTTCCTGTAACTCCAGTGGAACTACCATTGCGTCCCTGGTACCAAATAATGGCAGTGTAGACATAACTGGGACCTGTCCCAAGTGGATGAGGAGAGAAGCAGCTTACAAAAGGAGGTAGGCCTTGAAAGAAGAATCCACCCATGTCCCAGAGATTCTTCTCATCTTAGTTCACTGCAGATCCTTCTTATGTTTCCAGGTTTATATAGATGTAATCCTTGAACACACACATGAAGAAGCAGTGGACAAACATACGTAGGCTTTGGATTCTACCTGGGGTTAAGCCAGGTACCACATTGTTTCAGCCCTGTGGTCTTGGACAAATCATCTATGCCTCCATTTCCTTCACTCTAAAATCTGATTTCTGGTATAAGGTTGTTGTTAGTTCAGTATTACTGGATTCCTGTTTGAGCTGTCCCCTGGTAAGATATATTAGTGGTCATGGGGTGAAATGTCTGTTCTTTAGTTAACATTACTGAAGAGTTAATTAAGCTGCCAGCTGTACTTTGGGCTATACTAGAAGCCAGTGGAAGAGACCTGGCTTCAGGAGCTGTCTTAGTTATTTGTCTCTCATTGCTGAGACAAAGTACCTGACACACACAGGTTAACAGAGGAAAGGTTTATGTAGCTCACAGTCTATAGAGGTTTCAGTCCATAATCAACTGGCTCCAAGTGGCACATTGCAGAGGAGCAATCATTCATGGTGGTGGAATTCAGCAAAAGCAACAAGAGAAACCTCTTTCTGTCCCTTATATTGTGTGTAGTCTAACAGGATTAGGACAGTGTCAGTCCAATCAGTGGACTGATCCAGCAGTCACCCACCCTTAATTCTAGCACCTTTCATCCCAGCATTGTATCATGAATCAGTCTACACCCTGTTAAGACCGGGGTTATAACTCAGTGGCACTGCACTTACCTGGCAAGCACAAGGTCCTGAATTTGATTCCTGGTATAAAAAAAAATTCACGCATTGCATTCAGCCACCTCTGAAAAAGCCCCTTGACCACATGAGACTTTGAGGGCACACACAAATAATAACAAAAGCCATCTATTCAAACTGGTCTGCCTCACACTGACAGATGAATAAATAACAGAAAGAAAAGATAGACTTGGGAACAGAGGCAATATCCATTATCTATTATGAGACTGTCACATGTGTCACTTACTTGTTTTTTTCATGCAAAGTACTTAGGGTACTTTTTCCAGACAGTCAATGTACAGAAGTTCTGGGTGTACAGTGATTGGTTAGATGAGCCTGTAACCTGTAGGAACCTGTTGTCTCTTTGGGAACTACTACATGAGTAAACACACAGTTATGGTCCAGTATAATGAGTGTGACAGTATCATCAGCATAAGGTCTTATTGTTGTTTGTTTGTTTGAGACAGGCTATCACTATGCAGTTCAGGCTGGTCTTGGGCTCCCTTTGTAGCTCAGGCTCAAATTTGTAAACAATTCTCCTGTCTCAAGTCTCCCAAGTGCTGAGATTTCAGAAGTGCACCACCACACTGGTTTAAGGTCTTATTCAGACTGAGGATGTATGTCAGGAGTGGCATATCCTTAAAAGAGTAGTAGAAAGTAGGCAGCAGGTAAAGGACTAGCAAGAAAGATGCTCCAGGCAGAGAAAATGACCCAGGCTAAGGTAAGTACATGTGAAATGTGTTCACTGGGGAAAGTGGCTGTGGAGCGTGCTGAGTATGTTTCTCTTGTTGCAGGGATTTGGAGAAAGTGGAGCGGCAAGCTGTGCCTCAGGCCAACCACACAGAGTCCTGTCGAGAGTGCAGTGATATGGGTCCTGAACACTTAAGGAATTGTCCTCATCATAGCCATGATGACTCTGTTGGTTTTGAGACGCAGGAACAGGAAGAAGAGCGTTACCATTCCCAGAGGGACCTGCTGGAGAGCAAGCGGGACAGAAGCAAGGCCAGGTCCCCATACTTGCCTGCTGAGGAGGATGCCTTGTTTGTGGATTTACCCAGTGGCCCAAGAGGCCAGCAGGCACAGCCCCAGCGTGCAGAGAGGAATGGCATGCTGCCCGCCTCTTATGGCCCCGGAGAGCAAAATGGTACCGGTGGGTACCCTCGGGCCTTTCCTCCCAGGGCCACCACAGAGAAGCACAGCCAGAGGAAGAGCAGCCTGGCCCAGGCAGAGCCCTGGACAAAGGCCCCAAAGGCAGATGGCAGGAGGTCAGTGTGTATTCAGGATCCTTCTGATAATGTAGTAATAGTAGCTATCAATTCCCAGCACTTACTGGGTAAATTGAGGCTTTAAACCCTTCACCTCCATTATCTATGTGAATCTTTAGAACTGCCCTGAAGGAAGGGTGAGATCTCTGATTTATAGAAAGAAAAATTAGGGTTTGAAGAAGTGAAAGAACCTGTCCAGGGCACACAACTCAGTGGCAAAGTAGGAGTTCAAACCCGTTCTGTGGGCAACCAGAGCCCACAGGAGATTACACTGGTGGCATCTCTGCTCCCTGGAAAGGCTGCCTTAAGACACTGAGTGTGAAGCTAGGGGAAGATCTCCACTTGTGCCGCTTCTTTGCAGCTGAGAATTCTTTGTAGAAACTAGAATAAACACAGGTCTAGGTTTTAATTCCAGCCACCTCAAGAAGTTCTCAGGGGCTGCTGACATTAGGTTTTATGAAGCCTGTTACTTAAAGAAGTGGCTTTAACTATTTAGAAGGGGTGCATCTCTTGCTATTTGCAAAGCACTGTCTGTATTTTATTATAATTTTAGATTCCTTAGGACAGTTTATAGAGTCATGCAGCTGCCCTGTTGTCTCCAGAAGCCACCATAGTTTGTCTTCATTATGAAGATAGGGCAGCTTGCTTACCTCTGTAGCCTTCTGAAACAAACCACTGACTAGAGAAGACACTCAGAAATTCTAAGAAGTTGGTGTAGCTGTGGTCAGTGGGCCAGAGTTCAGTCCAGAAGTGCAGCAGGCCTGATACTGTTCCTGTCTGAGGGTCAGACTCTGCCTGTGGCTCTGGAGGCAGAAGTGCTCCTCAAGCAATAGCCCAGGCCTGCTTCCAGATGTGTGGGTGTAGAGTGCATGTGTGAGATGCTGTGACCCTTTAATCTGGGCCAACTGGATAGTTGTAAAGCTAGATAATGGAGAGGTCACATTAGACCCTTCTGAGCTACTGAGAGACATTGCTGTGTATTAGAGTAGGAGAAGAAAAGACCTTTAGTATGTTAGGTAAGCAGCTTTCCTCTGCCACCTAGGAATGACCAGGTATCAGTTCTGTTTGTTCAACTTTGGTGTCCTATTGAAAAGAGAAAGCTACTGTGACAGGACTCAGAGGAGTAAAGTGGCTGTCTTTGATGATGGGCTCAGTGTTCCCACGCAGTTGGCACCAAATGATCCTCTACTGAGTGAGGTTGGACAGTTAGCAGGGGTAGGGGCAGTATTGTAATGGGTCCTCCATTTTATTTCAAAAAGCAATAGGGGGAACTACTGAAAAGATTTAAGCAAATAAATGATGTGATCTGATTAACATTTATAAAGAAAGAGCGAGCCTAGGGAGGAAGCTACTGAAATAGTCCAGGAAGTAAAATAAATAAATTTGAGGTATTTTGGATGTTGAAGCAGTGGAGCTTATCAGGGCATTAGATACCAGGATGGAGGCAAGAGAAAAAGGAGGGTGATCGCTAGAGTGTTGACCTGAGAAACTAGTGGCTGCTAGGGGAAGGCTAGAAAGGAACAGATTTGGGGCATCAGAATTTTTATTTCGGATGTAAAAGTAGGGAGGGTCACAGGTGGAGCTGAAGGTTGCATCTGGGTTTGGCTTATCTAAAGGTAGATGTGAGGCCTTGCACAGGTTAGACATGAGAGCTTGGTACCAGTCTGGAGATGACCAGTAGATCACAGATTGTGGATACAGGTGGTAGAGATTCGGGAGAGATGACCGTGGAGTGGGTAATTGATGCCTTGGTAGTAGTTGATTGCCCAAGATAGAGTGCTTCTTAATCTTGGCTGTACAACTTTTCTCTTTGGAAGTCCTGCCCCAGAGATTCTGGGGTGAGGTAAAAAGTTATATGTCCCAAAAGCTCCTTGGGTAGTCTTACCAGTTTGGAAACTGTTGCTTGGTTACACATTGGAATCACCAAGAGGGGTTTAGAGGCTTCACTTTAATGCCCAGAAATCTTCCTTTGGTCTGGGTCCCAGGATTTTTAAAATGCACAGCTTTTCCTCACCAAAAGATTCTAATGTGTGGGTGGAGTTGAGAATCCCTAACTCTGTAAACAATAGCAGGGATCAGACAGAATCTTAGGAATCCCCAGTGCAAAGCCTGGCAGAAAGCAGAGTCTCCTTAAAGGAAATGGAAGAGGGAAACTGAAGTGTTCTTTGGGGGAGAATTTTTTGGTTGTTTTGTTTTGGTACCGGGAATCGCTCAGGGTCTCATGCTTGCCAGGCAGGTGCTGAGTCACTGAGCTGTATCCTTGGCCCTGGGGCAGAATTTGTGTTGGAAAAAGCACTTCTGTACAAAAGCAAAAGTGAAAGAGGCTGTGGATGAAGACTTCTCCCTGAGTTTGGTACCTTTCAAGATGGGCACCACTGAAAAAAAAGTCTGACACCTCAGACTTATCTGACCTTTTGTTCTAACCAGAGGTCTTTCTTCCACTTAGCTCCTTGTTGGGTGTGGATGAGCAGACCTGTATTGCCACCTTTAATAAAGTTAGAATTTCAAAATGAGGTCAGGAGACAGAGTCACAGAAAGAAAAGAAGCTAGTGAAATGGCATAGCCAGTGACAAAAAGGACTTTCAAAACAGGGCCAACTGATACTAGAAGTTGTTGGTTGTGAAGTATCTCTAAATAATCATTTGTGACAACCCACACACCTAGTTGTTCTGCTATGTTACTGGGAATCTGCAGGAGTGCATCAGGAAGCTGAAGGATAAGAAGTCTGTGAGGAGATGAGAGGTGGCTGTGGAGGTCCTTGGGCTTTCCCCAGATGTGAGATAGGAGTTCAGGCCACTCTTAGGTGAGGGGCAGAGGAACATCATGTCTGTAGGGAAAACAATTCATTGACTTTGGAGTTCATTGGCCACACAGCCAAAGGAATTTCAGACTAATGGGGGAGACAAATTTCAGTGGGCTAAAAAGTGAAAGTGAAGAGATGAAGGCAGGAAAAAAAAAAAAAGAGATGAAGGCAGAACATAAAAGAAGTGCTGTCCATCTTTCAGCAAAATGCTTGGTCTCTGATTTTTTACATGTTTGTTAAAATCTCAGCATTTTATATTCCCAGATTTTTCTTTCCTTAAAGATACACTTGTAATTTCTTACAGCAAGTGATAAATAGATTTGGTTGCTTATTAAGGAAACTCTTCAATTATTCATTTGAAAATATAGAAGTTAGGGCTGGGGATTGAGCTCAGGGATGGCAAGCTCAAGGTCATGAGTTCACTCCCCAGTATATATATGATGGATCTCTGTTATGTGTATAATTGAGGTTGCTTATCTCGTTATCATTAGACTGAGAAAGTAAAGACACTGAAAGGAGTTATTTTGACTGCAGTACGTTCCTATGTTTTCAGCTTTACATCACACAGGAAATTATTTCTAACTGTTCTTTCAGTCCTTAGAGAAAATATATTTCGCATCATTAAACTTGTTGAAAATATGGTTCACAGGAGTCAGTCTGCCATGACATACCCTTAGAGTCTTACCACAGTCTTAACAGCTTGCTTTGAAATTCTGGTCTTCTTTTTGTCCCCAGTGTTCAAAGTAAAGCATTATTGTAAAAATAATAAGATGGGAGTGGAGCTGAGGCAAGTTACTCAAACACTGTTATAGCAGCAGAGTAGGAAGTAAGCCCCTGCGTGTTGGAATAGAAGTTACAGTAAGGAATTTCTGTTGCATAAATAATTGGGGGCGAAAAATGAGTTTACATTCTGATGTGACCATGTTTATACTATCTAAACTAGGATATCATTTTAGTGCCTTTTGAGACCTTTTCAAGTAAGATGAGTTCATGCCAGCAAATGGGTCTGCTGTGGAGCAGAGCTGCTCTGGGAGCTCCTCCTCAGGATTTTTACCTCATCTTTCCGCTATCTCCCATATTCCTGCATCTGGCATTGATCAGTTATCATGGCTTGACTTCTGCAGCCAGAGCTCATCACTGTTCTGATACCTTAGGCTCACCCAAGTGACAGACTAAGTGGAGGGCGCTGGCTAGAGGATGACCTCAGGGTGCTGGGGCAGTGCTTGGTGGGGAACTCTGCTGAGCATCCAGCATGTAGGGAGGCATTCAGAGTGGGTTGTGGAGCCAGAAGGATAGGGGTGTAGGTGGGACTGTCTGGGACATGCTTTGCATTCTTTGTGTTTTGCTTTAGAATGAACAATGGGTAGTAAAGTCCTGCATTTCTCTGGGGAAGCAATGGCCTGGTTTCTCCCCCTGCCACCACCTCTGCCCCAGGATTCAAGTAGTGGCAGCCTTCACCCCAGAGGCAAATTTCATTTGGACTTTAGGAGATTAAAAGTAAGCTCTGCCACCCAGTGACAAGCAAGCACACCTGGCATACAGGACAGGCCCGGGCTAAAGAGATCTTAAAATTACCTCCTGCAATTGCCAAGTAACCACAGTGGGGAGGCATTTTGAAAGACACATTTGTAATCCTCACAACAGTCTGTTAAGTGGTTATTTCCCTATTTTATAGGAAAGAAATTGAGACTTAAGACAGAAAAATGACATTTGACCTTAGATCAGACAGCTACAAATGATTAAATGGGCTGAGTATAAAACTGCATCTTTACAACTTCAGAGAGTGTCAGAATCACCTGGAAGGATTTTAAAACACAGGCTTTTGGGCCCTGCTGCAGAATTTCTGATTCCTAGGTCTCTGATCAGGCTGATAATTTGCATTTTCAAAAATTCATTGTATTTTAATTGAAAATTGTTGTATGTACTTGTGGGGTACGTGAAATTTTGATATATGTGTCTATTGTGGAATTGGTTAAATCAAGCTAATTAGTATTTACACTTTGCTTTTTTTTGTGGTAAAAATACTTAAAATCTACTTTTGAGCAATTTTGAAACATATACTATTTTATCATTAACTGTAATCACTATTCTACACAATGGAGCTCTAAAAGTATTTCTTCCTCTTAACTGAAACTTTATACCTTTTGACTCATACCTCCCCCTTCTATCCTCCACTCTGGTAACTGTAGTTTTATTCATTGCTTCTATGAGCTCTACTTTTTCAGGTTTCACATATAAGTGAGGTCATACAGAATTTATCTTTCTGTATCTGACTTGTTTCATTCATCTACATTTTTAAGGTGGCAGCGAAACTGCTAGTTCATGGACCACACTGTGAGTAGCCTTGGCGTAGAACATCTGGCACTTGATGAGTACTAAGTAAAAATTAGATAAAATTGATAGAAGCAGTGTCAGAATTTGGACTCAAGACTTCCTGACTCCACAACTTGTTCTCTTTATATCTTACTATCTCTCAGGTTAGACTTTTAAGGCTTATTAATAAAACTCCATACTTTGTCCCTTGCTGAATATGTCTTCTCAGAAAAAAAGACAGCTAGCTGGTAAGTCGTTTTGAAAGTCATATGAAACTTTTGGAGCCAGTATTGAAGGACAGGATATGTGTGAAGACTTTCTCACACTGTGAACACTACCAGAGTGTGAGACATAGTTCTTGTCCTTCAAAAATTTTCAACTTGGCTGGGGAAGAGACAGACATCTTGCGAGCATGAAAAGGTTACATCAGTACAGGACCTTGGGAAAGTGACGGTACAATAACTAGTTAAATAGAGCAGGAACACTGAGGGTTGTGTTTGCAAGGAAGAAGCATGGGATACTTGTCCTAGAAGAAATTAGATTTGTGTAAATAGAGCAGGGGAGCCCAAACAAGAAAGTATGGGAAGAACAGTGTTCTGAGAATGGGAAGGGAGGGAAGGAGTGCACACAGGTGGCAGAGCTTCTATGTATCCATGTACAGGAGGCCTTGTCCCTTAGTGGTGTCATTTGCTCCTCAGAACAACTGTTAAGCATGATGGCATGTGCCTGTAATTGCAGCATTCAGGAAGCTGAGGCTACATGGTGAGCTACAAAGTAAATTCAAGGCCAGTCTGAAGTACATAATGAAACCCAATTCCCTCCCCATGTCCCCCAAAATCCCCAGCCATGTGAAGCAGGTAATAATGCCTCACATCATAGATGGGGAAAGTGAGACTCAGAGAAATCTAGAAGCCAGCTAGGGCCGCATAGCTGGTGAATGGTAGAGATTCAAATGCAGGGCAGGCAGAGTGCTGTCTACCTTTGCTTAGGGTTCCTCCTTTAGGGGTGGGCTGTGGGTGCCTGGTGTGCTCCAGCCTAGTCCCATCCTGGTGAGAGGAACGGGAGAAACTGCAGTACTGCACAGTGCTTTGAGGTCTGTTTCTAGAAAGCCATGAATGCTAGGCCAAGGACTAGGTTTTACTTCACAGATGACAGGGAAGTTTTCAAAACATGGAGATGACTGAATCAGAGCAGGAGGGGAATATATGGAGGGGAGAATAGTAGTATCTCCGTGTTGTCTAGGGGAGGTAATTAACCAGTGTTCACACTAGAGCAGTAGAAAAGTGAAGGGCCCAATATTGACCATTTCCTTTAAAAATTTTTAGAACTTGATACTAAGGTTTCCAAGGAAGAGGGAAAGTCTTGGTGATGGAGAGGATTTTCCTAGACATGAAAATTGTCAATTCTGGCAAGAGAGGAAGAGGAAAACAGAAGCAGCCTAGTCCCACTGTTCTGAAACTGAGGGCTGTCATGCTCCCATATTGCCTGGTAGGGAGTTGACAGAGAGAGCTGGGTCTACACAGAGAAGTGAGGGGAGCTCTGAGTGTCTACTCATTTTGGGGTCTGACAGGAGAGGACTCCCCCACATGCTACATCTGGTAGATTTGCTTAGCTGTGTTCCTGTTTTTCCTCTCTCTTCAGCCATCTCTCAGACCAGACACTTCCTCGCCAGGGTCCCAGCCAGCCCTTGTCCTTTCCAGAAAACTACCAGACCCTTCCCAAAACTACACGGCATCCCTCGGGGAGCTCCTCGCCCCCTCCACGAAACCTGCCCAGTGACTACAAGTATGCACAGGACCGTGCTAGCCACCTGAAGATGTCAAGTGAGGAGCGCCGGGCACACCGGGATGGCACTGTGTGGCAACTGTATGAGTGGCAGCAGCGCCAGCAGTTCCGGCATGGCAGCCCCACAGCACCCATCTGTGCCGGCTCCCCAGAGGTTGCAGACCAGGGCCGGAGCAGGAGCATGCTGGAGGTGCCCCGCTCTATCTCTGTGCCTCCATCACCTTCGGACATCCCTCCCCTGGGGCCCCCAAGGGTCTTTCCACCCAGGCGGCCACACACACCAGCAGAGCGTGTTACCGTGAAGCCACCAGAGCAGAGGAGAAGTGTGGACATCTCGTTGGGAGGCTCTCCGAGGAAGGCACGGGGTCATGCCATCAAGGTAAGGCATGGAACCTTGGCCTCTATTGGGCCCAGCCTCAAGGTGCTGGGAGCCTCACCTGGTTTGAACACAGATTGAGGCATTGGGACTAAATAATAGCAAACACTCTAGGTTCCAGTGTAGTTCTTGGGTTTCACTCTAATTCTGACCATAACTGTGTAAGGTAGGTACTATAATCACAGTCCATTTCACCAAAGTTTTTGAGAGACAAGGGTCTCTCGCATGAGGACATACAATTAAATGTCTGCTTCCTGGCAGCTTGGAAGGCAGGCCAAAATGTCAGTGTTCAATCAGTTCCCTTACTTATAACAACCCACCTCAGATTTGACTCTCCAAAGGGTTTCCACCACGTACTGTTTTGTCTCCAGTGAGGAAGGCTTGAATGCCCATCTGAGGCTCAGATAAGGAAACTAGCACAGAGTGTTACTTGGGAGTCAGTAACAGAGAGGCTTTGTGCCTGCCTCTCTTTTTTTTTTTTTTGTACCGGGGATTGAACTCAAACCTCGCACTTGCCAGGCAGGCGCTTATGCCACAGAACTAAATCCCCAGCAGTTCAGTGTGACTTCTTATCTCTCTACCTCTAGGACTCCTCGCACATGGACCGACGCTCCATGCCCTCCATGGGTTACATGACCCACACTGTCAGCGCTCCCAGTTTACATGGAAAATCGGTAAGCAACCTCGTGCTCCTCATCCAGGTGAATATGAGGCATCCTACAGTCCTGTCTCAGTGGGCTTTCCTCCCTCTGTGCTAAGTCATAGGGGAGCCTGCAGCTGTCCTGTAAAGACTGGGTAAAGAACTTGGAAAGCAGAGGGAAATGTTGGGCTTGCCTTCTGCTTTGAATAGGATTTTGCAAGGAGCATTTTGTACCCATCACCTCTCTCCTATTAGCTCCTCTCCTTTCTTCCCCACTCTTTGCTAAGTTAACTCTCTCCCTTTAAAGCTTAATTAGGGTGAGGTTGTACTGTTAGTTGCAGCTTTCCTACAGCCATTTGTTAAAGTGCTTTTATTTGTGCTAATGAGAGAATTAATGCAATCATTGCATAGTGGTGTCACATCAGGGCCGTCCCAGCACTGGGGCGAAGAGTGTAATTAAAGCAGTGCCCCTGTGGTGACTAATTTCCTTCAATGTGTCTATACACCTGCAGCTGGAGGAGCTCTCACTGCTTCTCACCCGGTTGCGACGGCATCAGGCCAAGTTGGCCAGTGTAAGAAATTTTGCCGTGGGCCAGTTACTGCAGCACCATCTGACCTTTCCCACCTGCCAGGTCAGCGTCCATGGGCTGTCATGAGAGATGTGCTGGCCCATATTCCCTTGTGATGCTCTGTTCTGTCTTTGCTGTTTGGCGCACTCTCACCCCTTGCCTGTTTGCTTCTGGATGCTGCTGCCAGATGCTGTGTGGCAGTCACATAGCCCAGCCTACTGGTGCTGGGCAGGGGCTGCATGTTGCGAGAAGACCCTGAACTGTAGCTTCTCTGGTTGTATATAATGACTATCAGGCTGTTGTGTGGTCATGTTGGGTACTAGTTGGGTTACTGAAAGACACAGGCGGTTAGCCTGGAGGGGAGACTGTAGGACACCCTCTCATTTCTGGCAGTGCCTGCTTCCTGCAGAGCTCTCACTTCCTTTCTCCTGTTGAGCCTCACAGTAACAGGGAGAGACTTAAGTAGGACACACAGGCACAGGGTTCCATGGAGGAAGGGACTTGCCTGAGTTTCTTACTAGAAGCATGCAGGCTGAGCCATAATCCAGCTCCTGTCTGGCACAGTGCTCTAAACAGTTTCTAGGACGTTGAACTCTACAGCCAAGTTTTTTGAGCACTGTCCAGGGAGTTGCTTTTCCAAACATCTACAGCAGCGTAACTCTCAGGAGTTGTCCTCAGGCAGGGATAGGATGGGGTTTGCCACACAAAGCTGGTAGGCAGGGGACAAATGGATGATGAAGATGATGTGACTGTCACCTTCCTTCCTTGTCCTGTTTTAGTGAGGGATTTGAAAAAGGTATTTAGAAAAATGAATGAAGGCAGGGCCATTGCCACATGCTGTAATCCTGGCAACTCAGGAGGCTGAGGCACGAGGATCATAAGTTCAAGGTGCCTCAAAATAAAAACTTAGAAGGACTGGGGATGTAGATCAGTGCAAAGACCTGTATTCAATCCCCAGTGCCACCAACACCACCATCTCTCCTATAAAGAATGTGCAAAACCGTAAGTTGAGTATATTTGGGTAATTTTAGATAATATTCTTCCTACTTCTGTGAAAAGTATGTAAGGACTGGGCTGATTGGAGAAGTAAGGATGGATAAGGGGATAGTGGAGAGACAGAAATAAGACTTTGCAAGCCACAAGCATCTCGTTTTGCCTTCTTATGCTTAAAAAAAACCCTGCATGAACTCTTTACGTGGCTTACATGTGACCATCAGCGTTATATAGCAGGATCACCTTCCCCAGCTCTGGCTTGCTCAGCTGGGAGACCCTGTTCGTCTGCAGAGAATGTGGTCTCTAGGTCATTCTTCAGCTTTCATAGCCCTCTGCTTCTCTGTTAGCGTCTGTGACCAGCTACATTAGGGGACCATGAGTTCTAGAGAATTAGTCCATTTCTTATTTTTACTGCCTCTACTACCCTGCAGAACTCAACAGACTATCAGAGATGCCACAGCAGATAATTCTGACCCTGAAACCAGCTCCTGACATGGCCACATGAGCTCCATGCCGAGCAACAAGAGTGAAACGTCCAGTAGCTTTTGGTTCAAAGTCACACTGAGACCTAGATCACCCAAGTCATCTCTGTGCTTCTTCTAGGCATCTCCTTGTTACCGGGGTTATCTTCTTTTGTGTGTGAATCAACCCCATTCAAAGTTTTCATGACAAAAATTGGAGCCATGGTCATTGATTGACCCCTAGTTTAGGTGTGATATGTGCTCTTGAAAGTAGACCTTTTCCCCTTTCTGCTTGAAGACCCTAGTATTATCCTCAGCTGCACTGCTGGGATGGGAGCCTTCTCATGCCTGCCGGTTCAGAGACAAGCTGACTTTTCCCACAGTGACCTGTAGGCTCTGCTATGCCTAAAGGGTGTGCTGGGCCACAGCAAGACATTTGTGCTTTCTCCATGGCCTCAGATGTGTTGTTCCGCTATGGTCTTTTGTCCCCAAAGCTGCTCTATGTAAATGATTCACTTTTAAAGCCCTATATTATGGAAGCCCATGGTATTTATAACTGCTTGGTTTTCATTGTTCTCTCTCTGCTTCTTTTGAAGGCCGATGACACCTACCTTCAGCTGAAGAAAGACTTGGAATACCTGGATCTAAAGGTGAGTGGCATCAGAGTCCCTGCCTAAACTTTCTGAAAGTAGAACTGACCCCAAAACCAAAGGCCACACAATCTTATCAAATCTGGATCCCAAATGAAGATAGCTCTCTGAATCAGAAGAGTTCCATTTCTCACAGCCACAAACTCTGGCTCTCTGCATTATCTTGTGAATTCTGCTGTGAGGTCTCTGGATTACAGAATAAGGGCATAAGATCTTGATCTCTTCTTTCCTATGTTTAGAACTGAAGGTCCTTGTAAAAATGAACATTCACTTCCTCAGATCCTCTGATCAGTACAGTAGTATGTGCATGTGTTTCATAGGGGACTGCTGATATGCATTTTCCATCATGGGTGACTTGGTGGCTTCTTTGGTTTGGTTGTGGGGGAGCAGTTTCCACATAGAATTCCATAACTCTGAGGCTCTGAGGTAGCCTCTGTTCTGCCTTTAGAAATGAACACTGGGACCCTGTAGGTGGCCAGACTCCATCTCTGACTCACCCTTTACAGCACCAAAGGCCCCAGAAGGCTCTTGTGGAAGGAAGAGGCATTCTTCCTGGAAGAGAGAAAGCTGCTATTGTCCTTCCCACAGCTCTCTGAAAGCTTCTGCTGTGGGCAGCCCTCCTATGCCTGAGTCATGAAATAGGCTGGAGGAATGTGACCTTTAATCATGCAAGGGTGGGTGAGGAGCCTGTCGGACACACAGACACCTGCCATGAAGGCATTCCCTGCAGTCCCCAGTGTTCAGAATGGAGATATTTTTAAACACACGATCTTTATCCAGCCTTGCAAAGCTGGTGTGAACATTAAGCCCTAAGGCAGCAGATGAGGGCTTACTTGTCCTCCCCTCAAGTAAGCACGGTCAGGGCCTTTGATTAGAAATCAACCCATTCACTTAAGTATCTGTTGAGCACTTGCTGTATGCCCACATATGCAGAGGATGTGGGCAGATGCAGGAGAAAATATGGGACTTTCTGGTCTTATGAAGCATTCAAATGTTAGGGAAAAAAATTTTCCCAAATAACAGATTTATGTGCAATGACTGTACAAAGATCTGTTTAACTTAGTTCTCAGTTGAAGTCATGGGGATCACTGAGGGCTGCTAGCAGTGCTTTTTGGGAGCAGGTGGCATGCATGGAGTTTGAAGAGCCTGGGGGTTGGGATTGTGGAGATTGAGGAGAAAGGAGAGCCAGAGGATGGTGGTGTGGATAGGGCCACAGAAGAGAGGTGAAGGCAGATCCTGCAGGCTCCTCTTTCTACCCTTAGAAAGAAAGGTACAGAGCACAGAGGGATTAGAGAAGGAAAAACTGAGGCACAAAATAATGGAATAGAATGAGGAGTCTCTGTGTCCTGTCTCCAACATCATATGTACTAGTCACTGTGTTTTACTTCTATTAAATTATTTAGCCCTTGCAGTAGCCCAGTAAGGGAGGCGATAGTGTCATCTTTTAATTGACTGAGGCTCAGAGAGGTAAATAACTTTCCAAGGCCACACAAGCAATTATGAGGAGTTGGGGGACAGTATTCAGGTGTAGCTCTAATGCTAAAGCTTATGCTGTTAATCACCATTCTGCATGGCCTCTCCCATAACAGTGGATCCAAAGACATTGAGCTGCTTGGGAGCTGACCTCCGAGCATTAAGCCAAGAAATACATTTGATGGAATAGAGGCAGGTTGCATCCTTGAGGTTTGGACTAGGGTTAGAGTTATTCTCTAGGAGGCATTTGTGACCAGAACACTTTCTAGTGATTTGATTTTCTAGACATTATCATTATCTGTCATAAAAACAGCTGTGTTGATACCAGAAATTTCCTGATCTTGTAGCTGATACTCTAGTTTCTAGGCACTTTGCAGAGAACTTGACTCTTAAATGAATGGCACTAGTAGCTGTGAAAGGCTTGGCTCAACAGTAGCATGTGTGGGAAAAGATGCTGGGGTTTGTGCTATCTGCCACTGAATTGATGTGGATGCTAAAAAAAGGCTGTCACTGCTGAGGGGTAGGGGGTCTGTTTGGCCCCACACAGACCTGACTGGAATATTAGGTTCCCAGATGAGTGTCTCACTTCTAGATGCAGATGAGAGAAGGGCTGAGTTGGAGAGGGATGAGGGCCCACAGAACTGACACTAAGTGTGATAGGTGGAAGGCTTTTGTTTGCAGGCATTCAAAACCTGAATCAACTGCTAAATCAGAAAGGGCATGGGCTTCTTGCCATAGCTAAGAACAGCATTTCAGGGGATTAGCCCACATCACTATTCTGCCAGCCTCAAACTCTCTGTTGAACCAGGGCTGCTTCCACCTGCACACCCAGGTCTCTCCTTGCAAGTTCTTTAATGGGAGAGCTTGCTATCTTGAAAGGAGTTGGCAACCAGCACAGGTATAATACAGAACTAAGGAAGGAGTTAGGAGTGACTCGGAAGAGATGTATAGACAGTATCTGCTGAGCGCTAATGTGTGACTGTGAGTTTCTGTGGCCACAAGGGACAGTTAAGGAAAGTGGATGGCAGCTGTAAATAGATAGTTTTTAGTATAATTGAATTTTCTAAAATGGTTGCCTCAAGTGGTAGTGAACTCCATGTCACTTGGGTACAACTGAGGCTGCATGCGACTGAGTAGGATGTGTGATTGGTTTAGGAAAACTCAGAGGTTCACTAGTCTTTAGCTTCTGTGACTTGGTGGAAAAAATGTCCCTGAGATGAGGGCCTCTGTGGACACAATTAAATTGGCCCTGAGGACTACCCCACACATGGAAATAGAGAAATAGATCCCTTCTGCAACTACCTTCTTGTGACAGGCTCCTTCTGGGACCCTGCAGAATGAGGTAAGGAGGTAGGCCACTTTGGCGAAGGAATCTTCCTGCCTGGAATCTGACCTGCTTAACCCCCTCACTGTGCCATGTTGATTTAGGGCCTCTCATATTCTTGTTCCTAAGGCCAAGAGCACAGGACCATCCCTCCTTTGATCTGCTCATACTCAGCCTCCAGTTGGTGGCGTTTGCTTCCCCTGCACACTGCAGAGCTGTTTCCTTCTTGAAGGCCACCTTCCCACTGTGATGCCAGGTGGTCGAGGCACTCTCTCAAAAGTTGCTTATGCTTTGTACTGATGCACCAATGAGAAGCATTTACTTCTTGAGCATTTTACTTGGTGGTGCCAGGGTGAAAAGGATTCTACAATGATTAAGATCTGTTCTTGCTTGGTCCGTGTTTGGGAGCAGTTGGTGTTCATTTATGTTATTTAATCCTTGGACAACCTTGAGCATAGAAATTATCCCTGTCTCCCTAACCAGAACCCTTGTCTCCAGAAATTAAGGAACTTCTACAAAGTTACATAGCAGGGACTGAATTCATCCCCCGCTTTTTAATACACCATATGCTTTCCACTTCAAGAGTTGTCTTGAATTGTGTTTCTGGCATGGAAAGTGTGTTACGTAGAACCCTGCACCACAGCTAGCCCCCAAAAACTGGCTCTGTTGCAGGTGGTAGTCTGGAACTCTTAGACTTAAATTACCCTCCTGCCTTGGCTTTCCAAGTAGCTGGGACTATAAGTGCTTACCTCTGCATTCAGCTTTGAATTATATTTATACAGCTGTAAAGCACAGCTGGGAAAGTGAGGTAGGGAGATGTCTATAGCTATGCAGGTGATACATTTGTAGATAGGCATGGGTTGCAGTTAACTCCAAGGATTGCTCAATTTTTAAAATGAGGATGTGAGTTAGGCATAGTACATGTCTAGTCCCAGCCACTCAGGAGACTGAGGCAGGAGGATCACTTGATCTTGGAAATTTGAGGCCAGCCTGAGCAACACAGTGAGACCTTGTGTCTTTAAAAAAATTTTTAAAGTGCAGATTTAGTCTTTTCAGCTAGATATTTTGAGCTAGAACCCCTAGTGCACATGGGTTGGGTGGAAGATGGGAAGGACTCTATAAGTGTTTGTAATGTATAGCAGGAATTGAGAAAAATTTGTTCAAAGTGGTGCTTTTTAAAGTGTGATCTCCAGGCCAGCAGCATCACCTACACCCTTGCATTTGAGTCCTATCCCAGATCTGCCCGATTAGAATATCTAGGATAGAGCCCCATATATCTGATTATTAGCAAGTTTTCTGGATGACTGTGATGCACACAGTAAAGCTTAAGAACCTCTGACTTACAGCAGCAATTCTCAGTCCTGGCTGCATAGTAGAATCACTCGGAAGACCATTTAAAAATCCCCAGACCAGTTATATTGGAATCCTTGGGGTGTAACTCAGGCATCAGGCTTTTTAAAAGCTCCCTGGATAATTCTAGTCTTCAGCTATAATTGAAATTCACTGTGCTAGAGGGTGAGGACAGTGCTTCCTAAAAGGAGCTGTTAAGATCTGAGATGGTTGGTCAGACATGAACTTTTAGATTCAGTCCAGGTGTGGAGATGGAGATTCAAGGGACAGAAAGTAAAATAGCACTACTCTAAACAAAGCTTTGATATCTCACAGAGTGTGATAGAGAGGCAAAGAAGACACAGGCTTCGCTGCTGTAATGTCCTTTGCTCAATGTGGCAGCACTGGGGAGGAAATGAGCACTGAAATGGTCTCCCATACCAACAGCCTGCACATAATCCCATCACTTAGAGCAAAATGTCCCGCATTTTACAAAGTCCAGAAAGGTCCTACAGTTGGACCCCATAGCGTCACCAAGGTTCACTTTAGTTGTGCTGTGCATATTCTCCTTAAGATTTCCCCTGTGCCATTTCCTGAAATTCTGGCTGCTTCAAGTGTCGTTTAATGTCTCACCTGTTACGTTTTGTTGTATTTGCCTTTTTGTTTGGAACAGATTAAAAATAATGAACCTTTGATCAACGTGCTTTACAAAGTGCTGAAGAAGTCAGCACTGGGCTGTCGGCCCAGGAGAAGCGTAAGATGATCTGATCTGTGTCTCTGAACGGGGCCATTCCATTGCTTCTGGCTCAGTGCCGGCTCCATCACTTGCTTAACCAGTTGCTCTCCTGATCGCCTCAGGCTTCCCGCAAGTCATTTTGGTTTATTTTCTTTAAATTTTAGCTCTCTTCAGTATTGGGGCTGATGCACCAGGCTGGGCTGCTCATCTGTGGTGATCTGTGACTCCATCTTTCGTGCTGCCAATGGGTGGGGGACTGCCTGGCTTGCCACCAGCTTGTGTTGTGTTTCCATTGTCATTTGTCTGCCTCCATGGTGAGGGCACACCTAGATAGGGATGAGCATGAGTTTTTTGGGAGGGAGCAGCAGTTATTAGTCACCTAGAAGGAGACCAGGTCAGATTACCCTGATTTGGGGCAGGATGTTGCTATTTGAATAATAGTTGAGAGCTAGACTTGGGCAAAACAGTCACTTCATGCCCCTTTTGACACAAATGTATAAGGTCTATAATGTGACTGGCTACTGTAACATTCTAAGGGAATCTGCCGGTGGGGTGCACATGTAGTATCTAGTTATCTTGAGCCCCAGAAACATGTTGGGATGTGGTGAAGGCAGATAAGATGCCCACAGGGCCTTTAATTCTCTTCTGATGCAGTGTCGTTATAGTGGATAAATGCCCAGACTTTTACTTTTTTCTGGCAATAGATGCGGGTGCAGGGGGCACACTCATTGATAACTTAAATGGATTTAAACATTGCTAACACAAGTTTAAAAGGAAACTTAGCTAATATGCTACTTGTGGATTTAACATTTCTTAGTAGCCTTTGTTCTTTGGAATGGAGCTAAATTCAGAAGTTTTAAGGCTTCTGAAGGCTGAGGGTTTACTCGTGCCTGCCTGGCAAGCACAAAGGCATGAGTTCAATCCTCAGCACCAAACAAAAAGTCTCGAGTTAAGGCCTCTGAGCTGTAAAAACAATTGTCAGAAAGCCCTGCTTTACAGCCTGTGGCCTTTACACTATAGGAATCAGAGCTGACCTTCCCGATTTTGATAGATATTCATGAACTCTCTAAGCAAATATTTTACAAATATCCTTGATATGCTAGTTCCTTGCTGGGCCTTAAGAATACAGAGAAATGCATCCTACTCTCTACAGTCATCCCTTATTAGATTGCTGTCTAGAGGGTAGAGACAGATGAGCGAACAGAAGCTTGTAATTTGTTGTGTTGAGTACCACAGCAGTGTCAGACCCAAGGTGTGGGAGGGAATACCCTGAAAAGCACCAAACCCAGTGTGAGTGGGGAGAGAGAGCTAACTTTACTTTTGTTGAGCTTTTAAGCCCTTTGGATTCCTAACTCACAATACCTTATAAGCAGCACACTAATGGGGGCCAAGAGGAATCTATTTCCTTGAGAAAGGAAATGCTTATATCCCAAGAGATGGGTTGCATATATATATACATACACACACACACACACACACACACACACACACACACACACACACATATATTTAGTATTCTAGAAGGCAGTGAAGAGCATGCATTTAGAAAGCTTTCTATTGGAAAGTTTAATTTAGAAGATTCAGCTTTCTCAAAGTGCCCTTTTTGTATAGAATATCTCATTTCTTTCCTGATGGTGACAGATAAATAAGACATTGCTCAGTTAGATTCTCTGCCTTGTTATTTAAGCATCAAATAAAAAAAACATCCTCCATAAAAAGCTTTAATGAAATACGGGGAAGAGTTTTGCCTGGGGGAAAGTCCCTGAAGCATATCGCAATTTGAAAGTGTTCTCTACCTAGGAAATGAGCCAAGGATTGGCCCACTGGAGAACAGACAAACCCATTGTCCTCGGTCACGGAGAGCGAAGACTTCACCACTTTCACCTGCTTATTCTCCTAGGCTCCCCTGAACAAATCCTGCTGGGAAGTCCAGCTGTTTGTGGGTTACCAGGATTAATTCTGTGCCCTCCCTCTCCTTCTCCTCTCCTCCATCTCAGGATACTACACTGTTTGGGGATTGTTGTAAGAGTCTATATTCTACAACTATGTGTATGCACGTATGTACACGTGATCTGCCAGTTTGAGGACCTAAATTTGGCTGGAGTTCTGCTCTGTTCAAGAACTTCCACTAACTAGCACGTTTCCCTTTGACCTGTATACAACTGAGTAAGCATTTGCTGAGTACCTGTCATTGTGCCAGGCCTTATATTCAAGGCCATGATAAATAAGACAGTGGTTCCTGCTCTTTAGTGTATGACCAAAGAGATGCTGGGAATGTTTGGTTCACTTCTGTGGGCCACAATCAGTTGATAGCCCAAAGCATAAAGAAATTACTTTTCCCTGACCTTGATCTTCGAATTAGCTGCTGCTGATTCTCAGGGAGAAGGAGCATAGGAAAGTTGGGCACATGGATAACTTGAGTCTAAGGGGGATGACTTCCACCATATTTTGGTTCCTCAACACACTCAGATTTATTGAAACTTCTGGATGGAGTGGAGAGAAAGCAAAAGCTGTCTCTCTATAGCACATATACTGTCTCTCTACTGTGATTAGGTCTACTCTCCCTTTTCCCTAGTCATATCTGTAAATGGAAGTCAGGATGCTACTCTTTTCCTCTGCATTGAGGTACATTAGACGTAACTCTTCTGGCCTTATCTTAACAATGGGGGTAAATCTGTGTAAAAGCTACCCCTGCATAGCTTTTGACAAGGAGATCTGAGGAAAAGTCAGGAATGAAGAATTAGATTCAGCTTCTTAGGACCCAGTAAGAGATGGGCAACATGTTGCCCACTGTGGGTCAGCCTAAGGATGGGAAATGTGAAGTCCCATTGACTCATGAGATGGGTGACTTTTGTGTTTCTTTGTGGTTTCCTTGTTTAAGATGAGGTAGGTTTATAATTTTAAAAAAGTATAGCCTCTTCTTGGTTATTCAGGAATCAGATCAACAAAGACCTTAGCTGGGAGTTATTCAACTTCCTTTTTTCCTTAGTAGGTCCTCTTCTCTAATGATATAGGCTGAGAAAGGCTGGACTAATGCACGCAGATCAGGGCTGCTTAGAGACTTCCTTAAACCGAGGCTTGAGAATGCTGAGGGCATTTGCTTGTTCCTTCTAGCCTGCCCACCCCAAGACCTGGATAGGGGGTGAAAGACTTCTGTAACTTCTGTTTGTCACAGGTACAGCAGTAGATATATCAGTGGCAAATCTCCCAAGATTTATACTGACTCTCTACTTGTTTTGAACAAATACGCACTTTAAAAATTGTTATTGTAACTTGAACGTTTGCATTTTGTTGAATTTGAGAATTTACAAATGCTATTAGAATCGTGAAAGATTTTAGTTTTTTTCTAAAATGAAATAGGCATAGAAATAAAGCAGATATGCTTGAGTTTTTGTCATTGAAACTTACACATCCATCCAGCATAGAGTTAACTTCCTGATTTCAAACACCGTGATTAAGTCTTCTTTAAATTGTTCACCTCCCAGATGACAGGCCGGGACCTTCTTAAAGATCGAAGCTTGAAACCTGTGAAGATCGCTGAGAGTGACATTGATGTGAGTGAGCAGAGTGGCAGGCTGACCCCTCAGCTGCCTTCTGACCTGGGCCCAGCATGGCAGCTTCTGGCAGGGTTTGAATGGTCCTGTAGCCAGAAGCTCTCTGGTCACACTTCAAGGCCACTCCCTATGGTCATTCTTGGGGCTCCTGCCAAACCTCTTCTTGCTTATAGGTCAAACTGAGCATCTTCTGTGAACAAGACAGGATCCTCCAGGACCTGGAAGATAAGATTCGAGCCCTCAAGGAGAACAAGGTAGGCATGAGTTTTGCAACATTTTGGTATGAGTGGAGGGATAGTTTGTGCCCTTTCTTTCATGAGACATTGCTTGGAGTCTCTTGTTAGTATGAAACAATAGGTGCTAGTTTATCCAGAGTAGTGCATTTTGTTCAGAAGTTTTTCTTGTGAATTTCTGAGCCAGTAGGAATGCCCTAGCTTACTGGTTCCAACTCCTGTCCCTCTTCCGTCATTCTGCTGTGGTCTTGGGAGGGGAGCCCTAAACCCCTGGGGAGGGATGCTTGGCACCTGAGCCCCTGGGAAGGAACTGCCTTGGAGATGACTGTAATTCTAACAGAGCAGAGGCCCTCATTTCCTAAAGCTCCTTTCCACCCAAACTGGGCTGTGGCAGCAGTAAGTCTTGATGACAGGACAGGAATGAGCCTGTGACCAGCAGTGTTGATTCCCTTAGACTGTTAAGCTGAGATTTTTTCTTTGTGCATTTTAATGCTAAAGATTTGTAGCATACCTTTTTTTCCCAAAGAGCTTATAGAGTTTTCCATCAACTCCTTGATGTAGCCTCATAGTCTATTCCTTAAGGAGTTAGATAATAGCCCAGTTTATAGGTGAGGAAATAGGTACTTCACGGTTAGAAGCCTTATCCCATGGATACATCATTGCTAGCATTGGGGGCCCTACCCCTTAGTACCCAGGGCAGCTCTGTCCCCTTCTGTGTGGGTTATATCCAGCAGCTTTCTTTGATTCCGGGCATGGTGTAAGGAGGCTTATGGGTACTGTGCCCTATCCTTTTTTTTCTTTGGCTCTTCCCTGACACAGGATCAGCTGGAATCTGTGCTGGAGGTATTGCACAGACAGATGGAACAGTACCGAGACCAGCCACAGCACTTGGAGAAAATTTCCTACCAGCAGAGGTTGCTGCAGGAGGACCTGGTCCACATCCGAGCGGAGCTCTCCAGAGAGTCCACTGTGCGTGCGGGCTGTGAAGGGCAGGCCTCTCATACAGGACAGGCTGGCCATGGGCAGCTGTTCTCGTCTCCCTAGTGGTAGTTGAGTTGGTGGTCAGGGGCAAGAATCTTGGGCTGCCTTCTGATAGCAGCTTGTCCAGGGTGACATGTTTCCACCTGCTTAAGTTGCTTTCCAACAATGACCCCTGGTCACTCAAGGAAACAGATTTCTCAGAGCAGCCTATAAACTCTATTCTGATTTGTATGCAGTTAATTTTAAGATATTAGGATTTCCACTTTTTTATTGATGAGTCTGATACGGTATGGGCTGTTTTACTAGAGCAGGGATTTGAAGCATCCCTTGGTGAAAGAAGGAACAGTTCCTGGTGTCCAGGGTCAGACTCTACACTCCCTCGTGCTCTTGTCTGTGCCCCATCAGGACTGTTGGAGGCTCACTGGGCCACCTTCCCTTTCTCTCCATCTATCTGGGTCTACAGAAGTCTCAAGACTGCCTGGGGGCTGCTGAGGTGGGGGCTAATTGGGGACCAACAACTTTTCCTTGGCCAATAGGAGATGGAAAACTCCTGGAATGAGTACCTGAAGTTGGAGAGTGATGTGGAACAGCTGAAGCAGACCCTGCAGGAACAACACAGACGAGCCTTTTTTTTCCAGGTGATCAAGGGCTATTCACTCCGCTGAGCCCTGGGTGCCGATAAGGGCCCAGTGTGTGGGGGCTGTGAGCACTGTCTCAGCATTTCTTTTCCTCAAACCTGTGAAGTGGCCACCCTAAGCTCTCTTTTGGGTCTCCCCTTAGCAGTGATAAAGAGCCTCACCCAGTGCCCCCTGCTTTCTGCTCTTAAACACAAGCTCTTGGTTTTTTGGGAAGGAGTTTCCTCTTGCTCATTTGGGGAAGACCCAAGAGGAGAGAGGTGTGAGAGTGATGTATGACTCCCTCTTAGGTTCCTAGCACCCATTTAGACAGGTAGCAGTGGAAGCCTCTCCTCCTTCCTGCCCCTGATCCCTGAAAATGGATGCTGTTATCCTCTGCCAAGGAGAGAGTGTGAATTCAACGCATTGAGGTGCCTCTGAGCTCCAGGCACTTGGTGGCACTTCTGGAGATCAGAGTGGAGGAGACCAGTTTCTGGAGTTCCTGCCCCACTAGAGGAAGACTGCCTTCAAGCCCTGTTTCCTTAACTTAAAACCCAGGCCACCATTTGCATAGTGACTAGTGTTTCCCGTAAGTGAGGCAGTGAAAGGCCCTAGGGAGTCTTCTTTTAGATTAGGGTTCCCAACAGCCCTATGTTACTTTATTGTGGTCCCTAACTAGACTTCCATCCCACCTTCATAGTTTTCAAAATGGAAAATAACCTGTTTTCCAACCCAGCTTCAGGTGGGCATCTTCTTCTAGGCCCTGACAGAAATTCAATTTGTTTTTTGTTTGTTTGTTTTTGTCTTTTTGAGACAGGGTCTCACTATGCAGTTCTGGCTGGTCTTGAGCTCACTTTGTAGCCCAGGCTGATCTTGAACTTGCAACGATCCTCCTGCCTCAGCCTCCCGAGTGCTAGTGTGCACCACCATGCACAGTAGAAATTCAGTTTGTTTGAATTAAGCAAGCCTTTATGGAGACCTCTTGGGTATGAAGCACCCAGGCTTAGTAGTCGATGACAGGTTGTAGCCCAGGCTCCTCAAACAAGTGATTTAATGAATATGTAGACTTTCTGGGCATTAGTTTCATTTTAGAAAAGTGAAAGAAATTCTGGAGGAAGTCTAGGTTTGTGTGTCCTGAGGCTTTTCTGAGGACTCTACTCACTTAGAGATGGTTTCCAAAGAGAGTAACCCAGGACCTGTGGAAAAAGCTCTTGCCTCTTGGGCTCAGAGCTAACCTAGAGGTTTTCCAGAACTTCTCTGTGTCCTGCTGTTGTATTCCCTACCCCCATAATTTCCCTTTATGGAAGCTAACATATTTCTGTTCCTTTCATATCCCCAGTAATGGCTTGAAAACAGTAAGCAAATATTGTTGACAAAGTCTTTCCAGCAATTATCTCTACTTACTGTTTCCTAGTACTATCCTGACATTTTTATACGTGTCTTCTTGGGCTTCCATGATTACACTAAGGCCTGGAAGTGTGACTTAGGGGTAGAACACTTGTCTAAATGAACAGGACCCTGGCTTTTGTCCTCAAGGCTGAGGAAAAAAATAAGATCCATACTATTTTATCAGGTTTTGTTTTTGTTTTTTGGTACCAGGGATCGAACTCACGACCTCGCACTTGTCAGGCAAATGCTTTAGCAGTATTTTTAAATAGCTTTTCATTCCTTATTTTTCTATGGTTATACAACTAGTACATGAATACATCTGTCTTAAAAGACCAAACAGTGGGCTGGGTGTAGTGATGCACATTTGTGATATCAGTTACTTGCAAGGATGAAGCAGGTTAGAGACCAGCCTGGGAAACTTACTGAGACCTTGTCTCAAAATAAATATAAACAAGGCCATGAGTGTACCTCACTTACAAAGGGTCCCTGAGTTTAATCCTCAGTACCACACACACACACCAACAGTGAGAAGCAAAAACAAATGACACAAAAGCTCCTTATCCCATCTCAGCCCCATTCCATCTCCTTGCCTGACTCCATGCTATCCATTTGTGACATTGTCTTCTTGTCCCTTTTCTGTGCATTTCCAAATGTATGCACCAAATGTATAGAATCATACCATTTGTTTGGGGTTAGGAGCAAGTAAAATATTTAAAGAGTGAGATCATACACATTGTTTGGCAGCTTCCTTTTTGTCAAAACTTTATGTTGTGGAATGATGTTCTTGAATTTGTGCTGCCCCAAAAAATAGCTATTTAAATTTAAATATAAATTCATTACAACAATATAAACTCATTACAGCATGGATTAGAGAGGAGTTTCATAGTCTCAGAAACTTGTGTTGTACAGGGCCAATCTGAGTAAATCAGTTGTTCTTGATTGGTACCTACTATTTCATTGTCTGGATACTCCCTATTTTGTTAAAGTATTCTTCTGGTATGCATTTATTTCCAGTATTTTTGTAAATGATGCTCTTCTGAGCAACCAGCTGCCTATTTGAGCTCATTTGTAAGCATTTATGTAAGATAGGCTTCTAGAAGTGAAATTGAAAAATGAGTATACATGTCTTAGAAGTTGATAGTAGCACAGTAGACTAGCTATAAAAATGATTTCATACTATATATCACAAAAAGATGGAAGAAATGATTTTAAGTATCCCACCCTGAAGAAATAATAAATGTTTGAGAAAGTAGATGTGTTTATCCTGATTTAAACATTACACAATGGGGGCTGGGGATTTAGCTCAGTGGCATAAACACCTGCCTGGCAAGCACAAGGTCATGAGTTTGATCCCCAGTACCTCACCCAATAAACATTACACGATGTATATGCACATTGAAATGTCATGTGGTACCCCATAAATACATGTAATTTTTATGTATTTTTGGATCAGTTAACATTTTTAAAAATATTTTATATTTAAATACAAAAAAGGTTGATAAGTATTGCTGAGTCATCCTCTAACAAGCTGCACGAATTTGCCCTCCCACTTACAATGAATGAGAACATTTAAGTGTGTTTGCTTTTATCTTTATCAGAACTTACTGTTATCAGTCTTTTTACTTTTTGCTAAGTCTGCTGGCTAAAAAAATAATGCCTTGTTTTAATCTATTTAGTCATTGGTAGGTTGAACATTTTTTCAAGTACTTGCCATTTGTGTTACTTCTGTGCTTTCTTTCGTAGTGATTCAGTACATAGTAGGCCAAGAATCTTATATGCCTCCAGAACACAAGTCTGGACAGGATAACATCTTGTCACAGATGCCCTGGAGGATTTACTCGTGCACATTTCTGGCAGACAGTTTAGTGTGGAACTTGTGCTTATGGCTTGATTTCCATCCAACCTCATCTTGTTGCTCATGTTTTCTCTGAGTGCCTCAATGATTGAGGAAATCATAAAATCCTGCTTTTGACCAGGTTGTGTGCTAACTTCTTTGTTGTAATCCTAGACCAGGCAAGTTGTTAGCAGTGTAGGTATGCCTGCAGCCCAAGTGGAAATTCTTACATAGACTTAGAAACTTACTTTACGTAGGTTTATCTGGCTGTGAGAAAAGCCATATCTTTTTCACTAGAGCAGGATGGCATTATTCTGGAAGGTCCTCACAGCTACCTGGGCATCAGGAAAGCCAAGAGATGGAACATCCAGGTAGCTTTGTGAACGGTGGTGATAGGCAAGGTTACCTACAGAGGGTCCAAACTTGTAGACAGTGAGTCTCAGTCTTTGCAGAAGGTGTTACATTGGAACCATTGTGCTCAACTGGTATGCAAATACAGGAGTGAAATGCCACCTCCTGCACCCCCAAAGCTCCCTTTCATCATCAAGTTATGAAAATACATCAGCTTTGGCGAAGGATAGAGACATTCTGACATTTGCTCTTCTTTTACATGTGGGGATGCCAGAAAGGCAAAATAAAGGCAGGAGAGTGGGCTGATGGGAGCTTTGCTGGCGAGCTATAGAGGAAGGAGAGGAAGTCTTTTATTCCCAGCCTTCACTTGCTCCTAGCACTGAGTGGAGCATTCCCTGTTACTTTATGCACTCTGGAGTCAGTGATGAGCCTGCCCATCTTAAGTGTGGCACTGAGTACCACTGCAATGCCTTTCTTTCAGCTCTGAGGGTGTCTTTGCTGTTGGGATGCAGAGTAAGGAGACTCCTATATGGAGCCTTTCCAGCATCTGCTGCTGTGTCTGCTGGACAGTGCACAATCAGGTCCTTTGTTCATCTAGCTCACAGGCACTGGAAATCTACTAATTACCAGCCTCCACAGGGGCCCTACTCAGGCGCAGGTAGTCAGGAGTGCACAATCTGGTGTATCAGTAGGGATCATGAAGTGTGAAAACTCTTCCAGTTGAGGGGCAGCTGGTCTCCTGGTGAGAAAAACTTTTTTCAGTCTGTGGATTGGGGCCAGGTTTGTCTTCACTCCATTATACTTTAAGTCAAAATATTATTACCTCTGGGATATAGGGATGTGGCTGCATGGTACAGTGCTTATTATCCTTCATGAGCAAGGTCCTCAGGTTTGATTTCAGACTTTGCACCAAAAAAAAAATGTGTACTACATTTGAATTTTTTTGTTTTGTTTTTGTTTTTGAGATAGAGTCTCACTATACAGTTCAGGCTGGGCTGAGCTCACTTTGTAGTCCACACTGGTCTCAAATTTGGTATAGTCCTCATGCCTCAGTCTCCTGAGTGCTGGGATTACAGATGTGTGCCACCATATGTGGCTAAATTTTTTTAATCATTGAAAGATCACCACAATCCCTTAACCACCTTAGATCTCTCATCTTTTGGGACTTCCATCCATCCAGTTTTAATTGTAAGTACATATGATCATATAGTATAGCTCTTTTTCTGTTGAACTTTTTAAAAACTGCTTTATCATAAAATTCACATAACACAAATCCAGTCTCTTAAAGTACTGTATACAACTCAATATATTTTAGTATATTTACACAATTGTGTAACTGTTAACACAATCATTTTTTTAAAAGAAAATGCAACCAAACACAGAACAGTAAAAGTGATACAGGACTTCAAAACAAGGTATTGGAAATGAACAATGGCTACCATAATGCCACTTGTTATCTTCAAAATAGCTGTCCATGCCATCAGACATAACATAATCAAAACAGAACAGAATAAAACCAATCAAAACAAAACAGTGGAAGTGATACAGGACTTCAAAACAAGATAATAGGAAATCAACAATGGCTACTATAATATGTCTTATCTTTGAAATAGCTGCCCAAATCATCAGATAATAACAAAATCAAAACAAAATAATGAAAGTAATACGGGACTTTAAAACAAGATAATAGAAAATTAATAATAGCTACCACCTGCAGAAAAAAAAATCCCTGTTAGTTGCTATAATGCATATTGTTTTCCTCTAAATAGATGATCAGACTACTGGCTTTAGGCCTGCAGAGTCAATCAAATAGTACAGACATTATGTTGTTGGTTTTTTTTTTTACTTCAGTAGCTATCATCTCAGCCAATGTTTCTGCAAATCAACTGGTTGCTTACTGGAAAGGAGGGGTGGGCACTTCTTGTCTCCCAACTTGTGCAAGGCCTGGCTCATAGAAAGGAGTTGGCCCAGCCCCACCACAGTCAGTTTTATAACATTTTCATCTCTCCTCAAAAGAAGCCCTCTAACCCACTTTATCCCCTCGCAACTCCCTCCCCCCCCCCATCCCATACCCCACTCTGCTAATCCCCTTTTGGTATCCAGAGATTTGCCTCTTCTGGACATTTCATTTAGATGGAATCATACAGGGTGTGGCATGTTTTTTATGTGTCTTCTCTTAGCAAGTTTTCAGAGTTCATGCACATTGTGTCCAAATAATATTCCATTGTCTATTATATTTTTAACTAAACTGCAAGTCCCAGGATTCTGCTCTGACCTTTAAGAATTATCTTTTATATTCTAGAGATAGTGTCCTTGCTTAGTCCTAAAGTACTTCCCTTCCCTCCCCTTCTGCAGTGGTTGCATAAGACAATGTTATTTTTTAAAACTGTGGCAAACTACACATATCTATCTTACCTTCAGCCATAAGCTCATACACATATCTTACCTATCTATCTTACTGTCTTATCCATTTTAAGAGTGCAGTTGAGTACATTCACATTTTGTGTAGCCAATCTCCCAACTTTTCATCTTGTAAAATTTTTAAATATCTTGCTATCCTCCCCTCCCTCTCTGACAACTTCAAAACAAGGTATTAGGAAATCAACAATGGCTATTATAATGTCTCTTGTTATCTTTTTAAAATTTTTTTGGTACCAGGGAACAAAACTCATGACCTTGTGTGTGCCAGGCAAGCACTTCATGGTTAAGCTAAATCTCCAGCCTGTCTCTTGTTATCTTCAAAATATTTCATAAAATAAATGGAATCTAGAGTATTAAAGTTTTACACTAGGTAGAAACAGACAAGCTGAAGTAGTGAAAGCTACTGCAGAACTCCCTAGATGTTTTAGAATTTTCCACATCTCTGCTTTATTGGGAGGCAATGAAAAGGCTTGATTTTAGCCTGATGCAGTTTCCAAAGTGAGTACTGTTCCCCCTTACCCAAAGTGAGGGCTCTGTCTGAAATGGCTGAGAAAATTCTGGGAAGAATATTGTAGTAAGGAGAAAGAAGAGACCAAACCATCACCTTGTCTTTCCAGGAGAAATCACAGATACAGAAGGACCTGTGGAGGATTGAAGATGTCCTGGCAGGCCTGAGTGCAAATAAAGAAAACTACAGAATCCTGGTGGAATCAGTCAAGAATCCTGGTGAGGGACCTTTGTCCTTGGTCAGGCTGGGTGGATGGCTCTTAGGGTAGCAGAGGCTCTGTGGTGCTGACTTGCATCCTGAGGAAGAGGGTCTTCACTGCTCCCTTCTGTGCTTCTCAGAGAGAAAAACAGTGCCTTTGTTCCCTCACCCGCCTGTGCCTTCACCCTTGACCTTGGAGAGCAAGTCCCCCCCGCAGCCCAGTCCTCCTGCCAGCCCCGTGCGGACACCCCTGGAAGTTCGGCTGTTCCCACAGCTACAGACCTATGTGCCCTACCGACCTCACCCGCCCCAGCTGAGGAAAGTGGCATCCCCGCTTCAGTCACCAACTAAGACAAAGCCCAAAATGGTAAGCTGTGGTAATGAGGTGCTGGGAGCCTTTGTTCCCTCTCTGTCCTTTCAAGAATAGCTCTCGGAAAAACAGAGATGGAACCAGCTGAAGCTCTCAGGATTGGCAGAGCCTTGGAAGGGCGATGGGCTATCCTAACTCTCCCATTTTTCAGGTTGGGACAGTTGAGGCCAGGCAAGAAGTAGCAACCATTCTGAATAGGGGCCAATTTGTAGAATGTGTGGCTGTCCGAGAGGCTTTCTTCATGTAGGGAAAAGGAGTACCTTTAGCAGAAACTGAGATGATTGTGAATGACTCATAACCTCATGCCCTGTGGAGAAGATAGGCAGTATCCCTATCCTGAGGAGAACACTAACACCCCAAGATGTTGAGAGCTACTAGATCCTCCATTTTAGTGACCACCAACTACAGCTCCTGAATTCTCTTCTATTCTGTGTCACTATCCATGTACTTGGGCCCTTCAGCCCAGGTCCTCAAACAGGTCTGTGGTCCATGTGGTGGGCTGGGCAAGGCCTTGGCTTGCTTGTCATAGAGAGGCAGCAAGCTCTTGACAGGGACTGGGACACAGGAGATTTCAAAGAAACAGAAGAGCGTTGACTTAGGCCCGTGTCCTGCTCTGGGGACCCAGTATATAGAGGTAGCACTTGGGGAAAAAAGACAGTGTAGGAATTAAAGGGCAGAACAGAGCTGACACACAGGCATTTCCCCACTTGATGGCTTCTCCAGAGGAAGCATTCCCATGCCATGGCTGAAGGGCTCAGAAGTGGCTGGTTCTGCCTCTTGGGCTGCGCTTGTGGCAGTGCCACTTGGCAGTTGTCCCTGTGGCTCTTGACCTGCTGGTGTGGGCTCTGATTTTCTTTCTGACCAGGAGGATGAGGCACCTCCCAGACCCCCACTTCCTGAACTCTACAGCCCAGAGGACCAACCGCCTGCTGTGCCCCCTCTCCCCAGGGAGGCCACCATCATCCGGCACACTTCTGTGCGTGGCCTCAAGCGGCAGTCAGATGAGAGGAAGCGAGACCGGGAGCTGGGGCAGTGTGTGAATGGGGACTCAAGGGTGAGCTGGGAGGACCCAAGGCTGCCCCTGTGGGTGGGAAGAAGGAAGGTGGTGTGATGCTGGGTAGGTGTGACAGCCTCAGACTGTGCCCACAGGTAGAGCTCCGGTCATACGTTAGTGAGCCCGAGCTGGCCTCTTTTGCTGGGGACATGGCTCAGCCCTCCCTGGGACTTGTGGGTCCTGAGAGCAGGTACCAGACACTGCCAGGCAGAGGTAAGGAAAGACCTTCTTTGGAGTCTTTTGGGGATCCAACCTGCCACCACATCACCCCTAACTTGCAGCCCAGGCCCACATCCTCTGCCTGCACCTGTGGCCTGGGCTCCTCGCCTGCCCTACCCCAGCCCAAATCCTGACTGTCTTCTTGTCCATCTGTCCCTGGGAACTGTGATGATAGCAGTCCTTGGGAAGCCTGCCGTGACTTAAGCCCTTCATATGTCCCACCTATTCATAGCAGTGCTGCAACGCAAGTGCTGTTATTCTCATTTTTGAGATGAGGGAGCTAAGGCTCAGAGAAATCAGATACCTTATCAATCACTGATTAAAGAGGAAACCAGAAGGCAGTCCTGGGGCTCCAGATGACTGCATCCTGCAGGCAAGGGTGTTGGGCGACTGCCACCAGCAAGATCATCTCAGGCCTTCCAGAGAGCTTTTTCCTCTGTGTCTCCCCAAAACTAGTGAATCCTTTCTTAAACACACTTTCTCCTCAGTTGGGCCCCCTTCTTACTGTGTTCCCTTATCCCAAGTGGGGTTGTGTAGGATATGGTTCAGGAAGCAGAAGGATGAAGATACTCCATCCCTCCAGCCTTCCCACCCTACCTGCAGCCCAGAACTTTCTACATGGAAAGGAAATCTAGGGTGGTTCACAGACCTCCAGGGACACTGTGTCAGCCTGGTGATAGAGAGCATCCCGGGCTGCCCCTCCTCCACTGGGGCCTGACCTTCCAGGCCATGAGAAGAAATAAGAGAAAGATGAGTGGCTTGTTATCTAGGCCCTCTTGGCCTTTTCTGGGAGTAGGGGTATTAGGGAGGGCCTGGGACTGTCCCCACCACCACAATGCACCTGACTCTACTTTCTTCTGAAGGGCTTTCTGGGTCCACGTCCAGGCTCCAGCAGTCATCCACTATTGCTCCCTACGTCACGCTCCGGAGGGGTCTAAATGCCGAAAGCAGCAAGGTGACTTTCCCTGTGAGTGGCCTTGAGCTGTAGGGGAGCTCACTGTTTCCTACCCTTGTGGGCAGGAGGCTCAGAACTGGACAGTAGTAATCATGTGACACTGAGGATGGCCTCTGAGAGGAGACCTTAGGGTCTTCTTGAGCTCAGGGTCCCTTTGACCCACTGCCCACTGAGAAGGCCATTACTCTGCCTTCCCCACTTTCCATGGCCCACATTTACCTGCAATGTGTCAGGGTGCGGGGAGGGAGCCTGAGAAATCTTGCTCCTTGGGTTCACGGTGGTCTACTGTGAGCTGTCCTCTGAACAGATGTGGGCTTCCATGGTGGTGCCTGCAGCTATGTTGCCTACAGGACTCATGAGGCCAGGGCACTGGGGCTTAGAAGAAGTGGTTCTCTATGGAGCCCAGCCGGAGAATCGGGGAGAGCAGGAACAGGGCAAAGCCAGGGGGGTGGCTGCCCTCGGTGCTCCCAGCCCAGCCTTTCTGTGTCTCCCCTCCTCTTCTTTAGAGACCCAAGAGTGCCTTGGAGCGCCTGTACTCAGGGGACCACCAGCGGGGCAAGATGAGTGCAGAAGAGCAGCTGGAGCGCATGAAGCGGCACCAGAAGGCCTTGGTCCGAGAGCGCAAGAGAACACTGAGCCAAGGAGAGAGGACGGGCCCAGTCTCGGCACGCTACCTCGGCCAGCCGCTCCCCGGGGACCTGGGTTCAGTATGTTAGGCAGGCGGGCTGGGGCAGGGAGCAGAGCCTCCCCGGTGAGCTGAGCGGAGCTTGCTGTGTCCCCTGCGCCCAACCCTGTCACCCTGAGTGGGCTGTTCATTGACCCAACAAGCTGAGAGAACATCCCACAGGGAATATTTGTCCCAACCCAAGGCTGTGCATGTCAGCTGGTCAGAGGGTGACCTAGAAGCGGAGCAGAGGCAGGAGAATCTCACAGCAGAAGCCTGGGAGCTAGAGACAATATGTAGCCTGTTTTCTGGGCCTGGGAGGGATCTTTGCAGATACCACAACTGAACCAAGGACTTGGGAACATAGGGTTTGAGGAGTAGTGGAGGAAGATGGTGATGTGATTTGATGAGAAGCACAAACCAACCAACCAGCCTCCCAGACTTCCAAGGCAATCTTTGGAAGGGAAGGCAACCAAGCAGGGGTTGGTGCCCCACAACGCTCAAGCTGGTGGGCTCCCACAGCCCCTGGTGCTGAGGCTACAGGTCCCCAGGAGAGCAGGGCTGCTGCTCCCTGGTGGTGCTCTCTGGCGCTGCACCTGCTCAGAGCTGCCTTAGGTCTCTTTTGGAAACATTCCATTTGAAATCTTATTTCCCTAGACCTCTAGCCTGACTGTACTTTCCCTAATTCATTGCACAAGCTCTTTTGCTTTTAGAATTACTGCTCATTGCCTTTCTAATCCCGCCTGATTGTGTTTACAGAAGCTTTGGGTTTGCATTGAACATTGCCTAACTGGCCTGTGCTGCTCGTTACCAGGCTTGTAATAGCAGCTCTTGTCTCCCCAGCCTAGCAAGCACCCTTAGATGTGACTTACCTTTCCACTACCCTCCTTGGCGCAAGACTACTGACTCGCAATTCACTTGCCCCCAGAGATGCCATGCGGCCTGAGCCAGCCTGCTGCCTCAGTCACTGGCAGAGGTCTGGGCATTAAGAGTTTATTCAAACCCATGCCTTATGCCTGGATGGTAAACACAGATTCCAGATACGGCATATTTGAACAGGTTTCAACCCAACCAAGGTTGTTTGGTTTAATTTCTCTGGTCCCATCACTCAGTTTCTTACAGAAAGCCTCTTGTGTTTCTTATATTTAATAACTGGAATGAGTAGCAAAATAAACTTTGTATTCAGGAGGCCTTTCTACAGCTGTTAGCTCAGATACCAGAAGAGAGGAAACAGGACGGTCATGTTTTCAAAAGCTACAAACTTGGGAACTTTTTAACTTTATAATCAAACATCATATGGAGTAACACTGGCAATTTACAACCTAATGTCTCATGTAGAGATTATCTAAAAATCCAAACCCGAATACCTTGTGATTTCTCTCATAAGAAAAGACTTTTGTAAGTCTCTGCATCAGCGCCAATAAACGTGTTGCTTACTAACAATGGATTGGCGTGGTTCTTCCCTAGGGTACTTTAGAGTCTAGTGAACTTTCCTGTCTGTGGAAACAATCAGGCTGGATTTTAATGAGGACTGGTCTCTGTTTGGAGCACTTGTGAGCATGTAAGAAAATGTGATTTTTCTTTGTAAATCATTAAATTAATTTATCCTTGATCTTCAGCTGCCTAATCTTTTCAAATTATAATTGGAAAGCCATCAACCAAAAGCAGTTAAATCGATTTGGACTCAGTATGGAGAGCTTGTGCGTGAATGGGCAAAATACGCTGCTGTGGCAATGGGATTGAGCTTTTGAGAGGGATGTGGGCAATAGCACAGTCCTGACTGTTTGAGGTTCTGTGCACTGAATGGGGTGGGAGAGAGGAGGCGTGGGATGGGTATGCATCTGCTTTATTCACACTCAGGACAGTCTCTGAACCAGTTATATCCTTACCAACCTATACTGCAGTCAGACACCTATGGAGATACAGAACCTGGGTGAAGCCACCACTGTCATGCTTGAATCTTAAAATGATTGGGTTAGATCATGTGAAGAGATGCCTGTTACAAAACTGATACTGTGAAACGTTCTTAAAACTCTTTGATTTAGCATTTCAATTTTGCTCAATTTTTTCTGATTTAAAAAATCTATCCACTTAGATAAATTGTGGTGTTTTTTTTTTGTTTTTTTTTTTGTTTTTTTTCTTTTTCTTTTTTATCAGTACCGGGGATCAAACTCACGACCGCCTGCTTGCAAGGCAGGTACTTATGCCGCTGAGCTAAATCCCCAGCCCCCTGTTTCATTTTTGATTGTTTTTTCTGAGAATCAAATTCATAATCTTACACTTGTCAGGTAGATGCTGTGCTGCTGAAGCTATATCCCCAGCTGTGTGTGTGTGTGTGTGTGTGTGTGTGTGTGTGTGTGTGTGTGTGTGTGTAGAAATTGTCTTAACAGTTTATCTGCTTTACTGTCTCCAGACTATTCCTTCCTGAACATCCCTGGCCATATTGTGGGTGCAGTGCTCCCACCCTGAATGGGATCTGTTGGGATCCTCAAAAGAGGGGGCCTTGGTTGTTCAGCCATGAAGGGCTTAGCTTCTCCCATTTCTGCACATGAGGTGGATGGTTCCTGAACCAGGAAGCCTTCTGTCAGCTGCGGGTTGGCAGGAAAGGCAAATCCATTCCCTACAGTCCTGTAGCCGGTTCTGTTTTGGGTTCACCCTCTCTGACCTTTGAGTACTCTGCATCCCTAGGGATCATTGTGAGCCTAAAGTCACCTGAGACCTAAGGATAGTCCCAGCAAGCCATGTACAAGGGACAGAGGTCTTGTGCATTGCAGGCAAAGTTAAATTACCTACCTTCTGCCTACTGGGTCACAGAGCCACCTTCCAAAGACCCCATGCCCACACGACCCATCCAAAAGGGATCAGGGTAGCTCTCGGCAGTCAGGAAGTGACTGCGATTAACCCTCTTGTTCTATTGCCAGTGGAAGCGAGAGCAGGACTTTGACCTGCAGTTGCTGGAACGTGCCATGCAAGGGGAAAGGAAAGACAAGGAAGACAATGGCTGGTTGAAAGTGCAGGCCATGCCTGTCACAGAGTTGGACCTGGAACCACAAGACTATGACCTGGATATCAGCAGAGAGGTGAGGGCAGGGGCTTCCTTCACATTACCCCAGGAGGCTTGGTCTTTGGGGTCCCAGATTGATCAACATGCCCGTGGATGCCTAAGGGATGCCCAGCTCAGCTCCCCTGCAGCCTAGAGACTGGGTGGATAGCAGCTTGAACCCAAGTGTTTGGATGAAGTTTCAGAATCTATACCTGGAAGTTGTGGCAAATTATAGTTGTAACTTTTCTTTACCTCAGTTTCCTCAACAGTGAAGGCGCGGAATGGTGAGGAGTAAATGACCCAACATGTTGCGGGTTTAGCCATGATGGGAAAGTCTGGCACATAGTGGGGCTGTTGGTTTAGAAGTTGCTGTTAGCAAATTCTCCTGGGAGCCTCAAGGACTGGCCACTCAGGCTGACTTGGACGTTGAGGCTTGGGGAAAATAACTGGGCAGATTTGAAAATCAAAGGTAAAATTTCCAGCCTTGACCAGCATGAGACAATGCACAGTTCTGGGCTGTGTTTTGGTGCCCTCTGGTGGCACACATGTGTCATAACAAGGCAGGCCCACAAAAGCTAGTAACTGTACCCAAAAGAAGAGGGAACTCGGGAAGAGACCATCTCTGCCAGGGGGTCTCTTGTGGCCCGAGTTGTGACATTTGTATGCCTTGCAGGCTGCTTGGTTTGCCTTTGTATCCCTATACAGGAGGAAATCTTTATTGACTGAATTACACAGCACCCTGTGTAATACAGAGGTCAGCAGAGATAAATGTCCTAGAAATATTTGTTTAAGGACTGGCCTGCCCTGAATTGACCAGAAAGGAAAGTTCTCATCACATGGAAGGTGGATTTAGGTAGAACTTCAATAAAATGTCCCTAAAGGTCCATCTGTTGGCAGAGAGCTTTGAGCTGGGCCTCTCGGTGCCTTCCTCCTGTGTTTAAGGGGCAGGAGCAGAGCAGAGGCATATGCACACTCAGGCTGCTTATGTCAGTGCTGTCCACTTTGCTGGATGGGGTAGGGGTTATGGGGGTCTCTGGGAACTGAGGAGCACTTTGAGGGAAAGCAGACATCATTTGCAGTTGCTGGACTGGAGTCAGCTGGGGCTTCAGGGCCTAACAGGGCTGACCTACTCTGTTTGGCACCTGAAAGACCCAAAAATCTCGGCTTTCTCAGGTTCACAAAGAAGCTTCCGTTGCTGCATTGGCAGCATGCCCTTGGGTCCATCCGCCCAAGGAAAAAGTCCTGTCTTATCTGTGCCCCAAATCCCTCTTGATACAATGTAATCTACTTCCTTCCTCCAGATCTGCCCTTACTGGGAATAACAGAAGTGCTTATTTCTTACTATCTTTCAGCAAAGTGTGAAAGCTTGTATGGTTTTAATCTGTCAACCATGAATGAAATTTACCTAGTCCAGAACAAAGAATACTTGGAGCCAATTAGGATTATAGTCCAAGCAAACAGATTCGAACAATTTTAAAAGTATGCTCTGAGGTTTTATAAAACGGCAGCTGTGCCAATAGCATTAATCACAAGTTGAGGACTATGATTTAGTTCTCACAAAAATTGAGATGTCTGGCAAAGAAAAGGATTGGATGTGGTCTGAGTCTCAGTATAGTTTGGGGCGATCTTTGTACAGAGGTCAGCAGAGATAAATGATGTTTGAAATGTCAGCTTGCTTGCAGATAGACATGTCTGCAGTCCAGGAAAGGACCGTTTGCAGATGTGTGAGATCTGATTAACTGTGCTTATTTTAAATGCCTTGAACCAATGCTACTCCATTTTCATTTTCTTTTTCCTTGACAAATTCAAGCCCAGATTTGCCCTGGGAGTGTATTTAGCTTGTTCCTAGACACTTTAGCCAACCCCATTTTAATGTTGGTGTGCAGAAGTTGCCTTTAGTGTTTTTAGCTTTGAGCAAGATTTCAGCAAGCAGAATTTGCCACAGGATGAGTGAGATAGTGGGGTTGTCCTGCAAAGTAAAAGATAACAGTATAGCTGCTTCCTGTCCAGATCAGAAGTGGTTTTCTAGGACAGGATGGTTTTCATCCGTCCATTGGAGAAGGATTTGCTGAAACACTAGTAAATGCCAGGTCCCTGTTTTAGACAGGGAAAGACAGAGATGCTGAGAATGTGAATAAATAATGGGATTGAGGAGATTAAAAGGAGGAGAGTCCCTTAAGCAGCAGGTGGGCTGGGGTTTAGCTCTGTGGCATAAGTGCCTGCTTTGCAAGTGTGTGGTCGTGAGTTCGATCCCTGGTACTGATTAAAAAGAAAAAGACAAAAAGGAAAAAGAAAAAGCAGCCGGCAGGCAGGACCAGGGAGCAAGCCTCTGTCCTGTGGGTGGGGCACAGAGGAACTCACAGACCAACCATAAGGCAGCACTGAGGATTCAGTTTTCTCCTGAAGCTTTCAGGCCATTGTTTGGCCCTGCCCTTCCCTTCTCTTGGCCCATAAAAGACCATCTGGTGCAGTAGGACAAACATGGGCTTTGGTCTTGGACCAAGGTTCAAATCCCAGTTCCACAATTGGTTGGTTTGTGATTTTTGCAAGTGCCCTTACCACTGTGGGCTCTGTTCCCTGTCTGATAAGGGGAGCAGGTCCCAGACCTAAGCATTTGAGCTTCACCCTCTACTCCTGGTCTCCTCCCAGTTATCTAAGCCGGAGAAAGTCTCTATCCCCGAGCGCTACGTGGAGCTGGATCCTGAAGAGCCACCCAGCCTTGAGGAGCTGCAGGCACGTTACCGCAAAGCCGAGAAGATCCGCAGCATCCTCACCCGGTCAAGGTCAGCCCTTGCTTGTCAGGTGTGACAACCCACACCCTAACCCTAAGTGGTATCTTAGCCACACATGGGACTTGTGCCAGGCCAGCTGGGTGGGTGGTCTGTGCATCTCTCTTAGTCGCAGGTGAGCCCCACTCAGTGGAAGGGCAAGTCCGTATTCATGTGAGTGAGAGATACAGACCCCAGATACTAACATAGGGCCCCTTGATCCAAAGTCTGTGCTGACGGCAGGGTACTGTTCTTCCCATCCAGTACGGCAAATGAAGCAAGCATGGAGTGAATGGACCCTATTAAAGATCAGCTTCAGCCATGGTCCTCCCAGCCCTTGGGTCTGTGCTCCTTCATTGAGGCTTTCAGATGAGAGCCCAGGGCTCTGACCATGGCCTGAGGGGCCAGCGACTTTGCCTGCCGCTTCCTTGGACACTAGGCAGGGGCCCTAGAAGAAGCTCTTCTGTTCCAGTAGTCTCCATAGCTTAAAAAAATCTTGTTTATGAGCCTTCCATTCAGACCTAGGTTAGCCACTTTGTGTCTGAATTCAGGTTGCCTCCAGCTGCATCCCTTAACTGGAGGCCTGTGGGCATTGTGAAAGGAGGGCAGAGCCCTGAGCATGGGTATGTGGGGAGATGCCGGAATCTGTTTCAGGAGAAAGCCCCCGGTTCACAAAGTGTTGAGCACCACCAGGCTAGGGTTACCTTTCACCTGGGGCGGGGAGGACCCATAGCTGCCCTCTGCACCTCTGCAGCATGTGCAACCTGCAGCCCTCAGCAGCCCAGGACCGCAACAGCCTGGCCGACCTGGACTCACAGCTGCAGGAGCAGGAGCGCATCATTAACATCTCCTATGCCCTGGCCTCCGAAGCCTCCCAGCGCAGCAAGCAGGTGGCAGGTAAGGCCACGGTGCCCCCTCTGAGGCCCAGGGCTGCCCCCTGCTCCTTGGGGCCCAGGTTGGCCTGTCCTAGGGCCAGAGAGTTGGTGGCAGTTGGCAGGTGAGGGCCAGCTGTGTGTTCCAATGAGGATGTGGTGTCCACCCCCCCCCCCCCGGCAGTGTTGACGTTCTTCCACTTCAGGTGTTTCAGGCCCCTGAGTCAGTGAGCTTGTTTTTGTTCTTATGAAGAATAGGCCTGGGTGCTTGGATGCCTTGCTGGCCAGGCAGAAAGGGGCCCTTCTAGCCCTCCTTGGAACCTCTGCTTTGGTCCCCAAAATAAAGCCACTGATCACCTTGTCAGAGTGTCCTGTGCCAGAAAACAGGGCTTGGGAAGTAGGGCTTTGCTGGCCACTTTGAAAAAATACCATCTTAGGGTAGGAGCACGTGTGTGTGCATACTTGTGTGTACGTGCACGTGTGTTGTAAAGGCTGCTTTCCCTCAGCCAGGAGAGGGACTCTGGCTCCTCCCTGCACCCGCTACCCTCTTTGGGTGCCCTTGCAGTCCGCTTGGTGTTGCTTCTCCCTAAAGGCAGAGGCTACTGCATCTAGGTGGTGTCCCTGGCCAGGCCTGCTCCTTCTGGACTGGAGCTGGCCACAGATCCTGCAGTGATGTCCCCAGCCCTGGCCAAAGGGCCTAGAAGTGGACAGTGGTGGGGCCTGCAGGGCTATGGCCCTGGGAAGTCTGGAATGGAGAGCAGAGCTTTGCTGCAGCGTCAGGAAGCCTCAGGAATGAGTGGTGACAAGGGAGGGGTTGGAGTCTCCATAGGAGCTTGTCATACCCTGATCCTACATCGACTTTCTGAAATTCCTGAGGTCCTCACTTCTTTCGAGCAATGCTGAGTGTACTAAAAAGTGGTCATTGTGGCAGTGTGGCCAGGGACACAGGAGACAGCTGTCCAGACCCCTCTTCTTCGTGGCCCTGGGGCTTATCTTGCCATGCTTGCTCTAACCTTGGGTCTGCCACCTTCGCCTCCTCACCCCCAGCATGGAGCACCACATTCCTAGCTCCCTGGGTCAACTTAGCTCAGAAAAGGCTTCGCATACTTTTCCTTGCTCTTGCTCCCCTGTTTTGTCTTGGACAGATCAGTAACCACAGGCAGCCCAGGCTCTATGATCTGCACCCAGATCCAGGTCATTGTGGGGGGCAGCAGGATCTGCACCCCCAGTCTTGACAAGTGAGGCTCAGGGTATTGGGGGAACAGATGACTCTAACATGCTGCTTAATTCCTGTGTGCTCCGTCTAGCGCAGCAGCTGGCCCTCCTCCCGCTTAAAGCACCCCTGTCCTCCAGGACGGTGCCACCTTATCCCCCCTTAAGCAACGGACTTCACTACACCTTTGTCTAACACCATCCAAGTAAGAGGAGCCCCCGCCTGGTGTGCCTGCCGCTCACTGCCCTCTAGTACCCAGCATGCCCTCCTGTCCCACTGCCACCGCTGCTATGTTGTGCTGTGCTGTGCTGTGCTGTGCTGTGCTGTGCTGGCTGCAGTGCTGCTGACTCACGCTTCCTCCTGCAGGCACAGCAGCTACTGTGGGGACCGGCCTGGCATAGGAAGGTGGAGGAGCTGGAGCTCTTTCGGAACTGTCCTTTTGGCCCAATGCAGCAGAGACTATGATTCTGACCCCCTGTTGGGCCCACCCTTCCTTCTGTCATTCCCAAGACAGCTGGGTGGCCCAGCGACCAGCACACACTATGCTGCAGACCCTGAGGTTGGAAAGAATTAAATCTTGGCTTTTGTGGGCTTGTGCCAAAGAAAGAGAAAAACTGCGGGACTAAAAAAGGCCCGAATTAATAGATGATGGAATTGAGGTCCATGAGGACCAGGGCTCACCCCAGGTTTCCCAGCATTGGAGTCAGGGCGAGGAAAGGGCTGCCCTTGCTGCCACTGAGCACCCTAGGGCAGAGAGAAAAGAAGCCCAGGATGATGTAATTGGCACCACCCCACGAGGTTCTCCCTGAATGAACATCTCTGGCCACAAGAGGCAGTGGGCTAGGGAGGGAGCCGGGAGGCCGGTATCTGGCCCATCTCAGGTAGGTGTGTGTCCCGGGCCTACTGCCGCAGAGCCCATTGCTTCACCCAGACCAGGGGAGGCTCAGGCAGGACGCCTTGGCATCCATGTTGCTGGCATTAGCAAGGTGCCCCCCCCCCCGCAATCCCTTATATTTGCTTGGGACTATTCTTGCTCAGTACCTGCCATGTGCCAGGCACTGTGCTAAGCACCTCTTTTGATCCACACAACAACCTTATGAAGATATCCATCCCCCTTTTACAGACGAGGAAATGAAGCTCAGACACCCTGAGGGACTCACCCCAGGAGTCAAGGCTTGTAAGTGGCAGGTTTGGAGCCCATGGGTGAGAGTCCAGAGCCCTTGCTTTCCATTGCCACTTGTGGACTCATCAGGACACCCCTAGGCACTCTGGATGTCTATAGAAGATAGTGGTAGGATGGGTCAGGATCTCTGCAGTGTCCTCCAGCCCAGGGTACCCCAGCTTTAAGCAGTCAGTGGGCCCAGCCAGCCCACGGTGGAAGGAAGAGAACAGCCTACCTGGGCCGGATTCTTGGGAGCTAGGGAGCAGGCCTGTAAGCAAAACACCCTAAGGGATCCTTCTGTGGCCCTTCCTGAAGGCCACAGGGACCTGCCAAGGCCAAAGCAGGGCATGTAACTTTTCCCTAGAGATCTGAGAGGGTGACACCACCCAAACACAGAGAGGCAGGACAGAGGCTGTGTTTCCTAGTACTTGGTGCCCCTGTGGCTTCACAGTTGGCTTGAATGCACTTTTCAGGCTCATCCACATTCCTGTTCCTCTCACAGCATCACTGGGAGGGAGCAGAGTATGATGGCTCCATTTTTAGGTTAGAAAGATGGGGCACATAGAGGCCAAGTTTGCCATAGTCATCCAATGAGTGAAGGGAAAGACCATAGCGAGAGACCGAAGTCTCCCCCAAACCCTTTGCTCTGTTGTGCACAGGGACCCAGTTTAGGGGGCAGTGTGTGTCTGTGCTTCCTAGAAGAGGGAGTGTGAGGCCCATGAGTCCTGGAAGATGAAGGTCCCAAGATCCCTCAGCAGTGGCCGCATAGCCCTAGTGCCCTTCTCTGCTGCTGTCACTTGTCATCCCGTTTGTGTGCCCCATGCCACTGCCCGCTTCCCAGGTGTGAGCAGGGATCTGCTAGCCTCTCACTGTCTCGTGTGCTTTTTGCCAGCCCAGGCAGTGACCGGCCCGTGACCCAGTGTGCAGAGAAGCCTGGAGCCAGGGCCGAGCAGAACCAGCTCCTCCCAGGAGATTGGCCTCTCGGCCCCACCATCCCTTGCAGCTGAGCAGGTTCTGGTGGAGGAAGGGACAGCACACCAGCCCTGAGGTGTCCCCCCACGGAGCTGGGCCCCAACACACCCCTGTTCCAGTGCAGACTCCATTTTACAAGTGATAAAGGCACTTTTAATAGACACTGTAAAATACTGGCACTGGATTTCAGAATCGGGATGTATTTTATACTGTTCACTTCAAGGGCTGCATGGCTGGGGTGGTGAGGGTGCAGGGCAGGTAGCTGCACACACAGATTCAGGACGAGTGGAGTAGGGGTACAGGCAGGGGCGGACTGGCTGTCGGGGTCTCCAGTGAGATTGCCTTCCCGAGGCCCTCAGCTGCAGACAGTAGCATCCCCAGCCTGACCTGATGATCGGCACCCAGGTCTGTGCCTTGGCCCTTGATTTTGTTTCAGGGCAGCTGTGTGTTTGAGAGCTCCGGGCTCCCTAACCTCCCCAGCAGATTCTCTCTGCAAAGGGCTCTTCTTAGAAAGAAGCAGCTATTACTTTCATTAAAAAATACATTTTAAAGTACAGAAAATGTGAGCGGAAGCACCTTTTTGTATCATAGCAATAAACTCTATACTAGATGGCATCTACCTGAGAATCTGTGACCAACTTCCCGCCAAGCAGGCGTGACAGGAACCTGCCTGCCTGGGGTCCCTAGGACTTGGGTCTGGTGGCAGGAGAGCTGGTGTTGTGCTCTCTGCCAGCCTTGATGAGCTTGTCACCAGTAGGGCCAAGCGGCACGACTTTAACATGACTTCCAGCCCAAATGAGGAGGCTACCGAGCCAGGTGCAGCGTTTGTGGTCCTTTATTTACAGTTGTCCCACAGTGTTCTGCGTACAGAAAACAATGTTTAAAAGGAAAACATGAAAACTTTGGGTGGAGCCACACTTTAAATGAAAATTTGTCAGTGACTATGCTCAGAAAAAAAAAAGAATCTTGAATATACTTAGAAGTTGTGGTCTATTTTTAACTAACTCCATATGCTGCCAGTATCAACTTCATGACATTTGCCAAAATAAAATTTTATTTTTGTCTTTATAGGATGTTGTTTGAAAACTGAAATGAATATTTTGTAAGAAAATGTTAATTTAAGTAAAAGTGTAATGGTTTGCAAAATAACAAACAAAAATGTGATGTACAGATTAAAATAATAACTTGACACTTTTCCTGTTTCTTGGTGGCTATGTTCTTTCACAAGTGGCCTGGGTGGGTTTTTTCTTGGGAAATCCCCATGTTGGCTCTCACCCCTACTGTGTTCAACTGTGAAAAGTCCTGATGACAGTTCCTGGTCACTTGATTGCCTTCAGGCACGGCGGGGACAGAGGCCTGGCTCCTGGGCTGTGGCTGGGTGTTGGCGGCTGCTCGCGGTGGCCACTTCTGCACCGCGGTGCAGTCCGGGAGCTGCCAGCCGTGGACTCCCGCGCAGGCTGCTTTGGCAGGCGGCCTGCGCTCCGATCTGGGACAGCGCGGGGCTGCGGTGGGCACCCTGCCAACCCACAGGCCGCTGGTTCATTCCAGTGAAGTGGGTTAGTGACGGGCCATTGCAAACTGGATTGGTGTTTAATTCATTTTGACTCGTGATGTGTGTTTAAAACAGAAGGCAGGAGGCCAGTTCTGTTGGGGAATGTATGTGTGTGTTTCCAAGTTTGTTGTTATGGTAGTTTTTCTTTACTACCAAGAGGGGCATTGGAGGTTTTGAGTGACTTTCCAGCCATTTAAAGTGGGGAAAGTAGATAGATACCAAAGCTCTCTGGACAGAGAATACTGCTGCTTTTTTAGCTCCTGATCCTTTTGAATTTTAAAATAAAACACCCTCTGTCTTAAACATGGCTTGATGTTGCCATAACAGATGAAAGGGGTAGGGATGGGGGCGATTCCATAATTGGATGCGGTGGCATCCCTCAAAAAAGAAAAGAACTCCCCAGGAGGCAGTACTCGGCCCACAGAGCAGCCATCGGTAGCTGTTTTCTCTGTGGAAACATGCCAGTGGTTTTTGCAGGCTTGGCCACAGTTTCAGTTTCACACATAATTATTCCGTGTATGCAGGGGCACGGCAACTCTACCCAGCTGCTGCTCCCAGCATGCGCGTCGGGGAGGAGGGATGGCCTGTGTTAGGAGAATCCTGCCCCAGGTTGCAGTCTGAGAGTGTGACCAGCCCTCAGCCCAGCCCTCAGCCCACTCGTGGTTCAGAAAAGTCACCTGTGTAAGTGGCACAATGGCCTGGCACTCTGCAGTCTGTTGAGAGGACTGCGGTCCCCTGAGGTGAGATGGGGTTATCTGTAGAGTACTGGCTACCCAGGGATGCACCAGCGGCGCAGCTTGGGAATTCTGTGGTCAAGTGATTCCAGCTTGCCTTTCTTACAGGGACCCAGGGCCTGAGCAATTTTAAACAATGGTATTGAAGTTGTCAGAAGGGACAGGCGTGTGCATCTGTTTGTTAACATCATAATTATAATTTTAACCCAGGCCCAGGTAGGACCCAGTATGTCTGCCAGATTTTAGGGAGAGCACTTGAGGATCTAGTCTCAGGCAGTGTTTTGGAATAAAATTCCTCCCTAACCCCTGTTTGAACCTCCAGGGCTACTGATCTCCTCAACATGTCCAGGATGTCCTTTAGGTGGTTGCATCGTTCTGGCATTTGCACAGGTGAGCTAGATGTGGCCAGGGACATTGTGTTCACCCCTGTCATTCATTCTCCTGCCTGCCTTGGTGCCTGGCTGCAGGAGTGGTGGCTCAGGTCACTTCCACTCCCCCAAAGCCCAGGCTGCCTTCAGGAGCTGGCCATGGACCCTGCAGGATTTCCCTGGCTATTATAGGTGGCAGCCCAAGGTCCGGGAATTGCCTGCCTGCATGCAGTTGCTCTCCAGGGGACTGAAGATTTGCTGAACCAGTCATCTTGGGAGGGAACGAGAGACGGGCACAGATGCTAGCTGAGCCTGGTGAGAGCTTGTTTTGGGCTCTAGGAGTTTCCCACAGCTGCAGCACAGTTCTCCATGGTAAGCCCTTTCGTGTTCTCACCAAGGATGGGAAAGAAGCAGCAAATGATGTGTCTCATGTACAAATCACATTTCTGAGACACGGCAGGTCAGTGCTGGGAGCCCTGCGCTTCCAGCTCGGAGCTCGGCGTCAGACGCTTGGTGTGTGGGGGTTTTTGCCAGTATGGGTTGTGCATCGTTGTGATGAAAAGAACAAAGAGTGCGGGCTGAGGAAGACATGAAAAATGCCAGCCCCTCCTGGTGCCATAAGCACGCCATTGCTTTGCCGCCTCCACTCAAAAGGCTACCACTTTCATTGCTCCCCAAGCAAAGGAACCTTTCTTCAGAGTGAGTGGCGGGGTACAAAGGCAGAGCACAAAATGTGTGCACATCACAGTCCTCGCAATTCTGTTTGAACAAGCATATTGATTGGGCCTGACCCTGTTACATTTTTTCCCTATTATTTGAAAAGGTGCATCTAAGTATAGTGAATTGAACCAGCACCGCTGAACTTTCCATGAAAACTTCTTGAGGTATTTCTTTAGTTCAAAGCTTTTGAATTTTAAAGGGCATTTTTAATATGAGTCTGTTGAGTATTCTCTGCTACAACGCAACAAGGCATGCTCAATGCAGATGAGGCTGGAGTGAAGGCTGAGGCCGGCGCCAGAGGTGTGGGCAGGCCTGGACTTGGGGATGGGAGGCCAGGCATGGGAGCAGCGTCGACCCTAAAAGGGACCTTTCTGGGTGCACAGCACAAGCTTGAGGACAGGCATGAGGCTTCACAGCTGGGCTGCTAGAGCCAGGAAGCACTTGTACCTTCTCCGTGGCAGAGGGTTGTGTAACCTGAGTGAGGGCCGCCTTGCTGCCCAGCCACTCACTGGCTCTCACTCTCCCTCCGAGAGGGACTCTGGAGGCACAGTCTCTGAGCCAGGGCCCAGATTTCAAGAGGAAACTGCTGGTAACTGTACCTGTCACCTTGCCTCTGTCCCCAGCCACAGCTGGACCTTGCAGCCCCTACATATATCTCACTGATGAGTCACAGATGCTGTCCCCCTGCATCCTGAGCTGCATCTCAGTGCTTAACTGACATCATATCTTAGACGTCCTGCTACTCTGGTGTAGCAGCAGCCTTTGCATCGGCCTGGTCAGGGCCCTGGAGCTCGCCCCAAATTCTCCCCACATGTAGCAAGGCTCTTCAGGCCCACCAGAGCACATGGCTTCTTTTGACTGATTTTCCGCTGACCTGTGGAGGCCTCTTGGCTCTAGAAAGCACCTTCTAGATCCAGAATTCAGGCTCAGAGGCAGAGTCTTCCTGGGAGGAGCTGGAAGATTAGGGCATGTGCCAGGGCTGGACAGCTCAGTAAAATCCTTTCCGAAAAGGCCTACCAAATTCCCACCTAGAGAATCCTGAGAGAGCCACAAAAGGGTCAGAACCACAATAAAACCAGTGGTTGCCAGGGCCCATCACTGCCCAGGGTGTCAAAAACATGTCCCTTCAGAGCCTCCAGGGTTGCCCAACGTGTGCACTGGAAAGCATTTTCTTGGCTGTCACTTTCAGGCCTTCCTGCTCCAACGTGTATTTCTGAAGGACAGTGGACACAGGAAGTCTCAATGACAGTCACGATTTACACTTCCAGCTTCTTACCGCTGCTCACCAGATGGCCTCCCTGCTGTCTCTCCTGATTGTTGTTGCTGGGAGACCCCGGACTTGGTCCCCAAGCTCTCAACAGACTTATCACATGTTGGTCTTCCACTTGCAGCTTCTAGGTGTCTGCTGGCCAGGAAACTGCTCCAGGTCCCTTCTCATCCCCACCCCAGTGCCCTGAGAAACTCTGCTTGTCTGGCTTGTGGCGCTTTCCCCAAGCTGCAACCCTCTGAGGTGCTGGATGAGTATTTGTCACTGTAGTCCCGGCCAAGCCTGGACTGCAGTCTGCACTCCCATGGGGAAAGATCTTGCTTTCATCATTGACCAGAAAGTAGGGCCTCTTGGGCTCATTTACACGGAGCCCTGCGGAGAACCTGTTTCTCAGCAGCTGCCCAGGGCCAGTAGCATCCTCTCCATCCCTGGCTTTTCCTCGGGCCCCTTTCAGCTGCCTATTGGTGTAGTATGCAGTCCTGCAGCTTAGTAGCTCACCCCTACATCAGTCTGTTATTTCCCAAGATACGCCCTCTGCGTGGAGCTCAGCTGAGCAGATCTGGGGCCCTGTGGATGAGGGACACCGGGACTGGGATGTCCTTGGTGGCTCCTTCACTTGTTACTTTGTTATGCTAGTGTCTGTGATAATGTCTGCCACCAAGAAGGTCCCAAGGAAGAATTTGTCCCATGAAAGGATGCAGGAGTGATGAGATTAAGGCCTGCTGGCCAGGGAGCTTTCTTTTTCAGATGACCTTGCCTACCTTTTTCTTCTGTGTCACTGTCTTACCCTGGAGCCCCCAGAGAGTGTCCCTCTGCCTTATTTCTAAGTCCCTTGAACAGTATAAAGCAGGGATAGAGGAATTCAAATCCACTCTCTGCCGTGATCTTGGGCAGGTCTCTTGACAACCCCAGCCCCAGCCTCAGTCTCCCGAGGAATGAGCTGAGTGTCTGCCTTGCACTGGTCATTGTGAGGACTGAGGTGATCTTTATGCAAGTCCCTGCCTTTGAGTGCCCAGTAAATGTACACCCTACTAGTTTTGTCTGTATGTCTGATCCTGTTTATAAACACAGCAGGGCTCAGGGTAGTTCTTCGTGTGTAAACCTTGTCTCCTTTTCCTGGCTGGACAGGGTAAGCAGGTTTGGGGCCATCTGCTACCCCTCTGCCCAGTCTTCCCTCACCTGCTGTTTGCCGTTTCGGGCAGTCTCCTGCAGTGGGTAATGCCATGGCCCGGGCTTTTGAAGGCTGGGATCTAGAAGCCAGGCCACTGTGAAGCTGCCTCCCTGAGCACTCCCGGGGCTGAGGACAGGCAGGTCCTCGGAGGCCTCCTCCTGCAGCCCTGCGGCTATCCCTTGACATCACATCAACCTGTGCAGTCCCTTTGATGTCAGTCCCAAAACCGGAGCCTCATGCCCTGCTCTGAGGACCTGGGCTTTGAAGTTGGCCTATAAATTGAGTTTTCAGGAAGAAAGTTGTCTGTTGTGCCTCAGAGCACGGCTGGGTCCTGTAAAGGAACGCCGAGTGCCGTGAACATCTGATAAATAATTCTTTCTGG